CCCTAACCCTAACCCTAACCCTAACCCTAACCCTAACCCTAACCCTAACCCTAACCCTAACCCTAACCCTAACCCTAACCCTAACCCTAACCCTAGCCCTAACCCTAACCCTAACCCTAACCCTAACCCTAGCCCTAACCCTAACCCTAACCCTAACCCTAACCCTAACCCCTTGCCAATCTGCCAGATCTGCCCCATTTTGCTACTTTCTCTCCTGGCAGTGCAGTGCTGATGAGACTGGTACTGCTGCGTAGCCCTGACTCAGGGGATGCCGTAGATGTGGCTACCATCTGCCCCTAGCCCCTATCCACGCCGTGGGAGCCCTTGCCATTCCTGCTCCCACGCTCTTCCAGGTGACCTCAAGCAGCATTGGCTGACTGGAATGCCAGGCTGCCTCTCTGGCAGGTCCAGGCAGGCCCAATGCACCTCCCCATCAGTCAACCCTACTGAGATTCTGCCCCCTGGCCGGCATTGCCTTGCAGTATGCTGCAAATACAAGGTTATTTGTACCTTTCTTGTTGCTGGCAAAGTCTGAGTACCCCAGCACCCAGGAGAGCGCGGTTGCAAAGAACCTGAAGCCAAACCTTGGGGAGGTGGGGGGCGGAGAGGAGGGGCGGCGCTGCTGCGCTCGCGATGCTGATGGCGCTGCGCACGGCCGCGGCGCGCGCGGCGGCATTTCGCATCTGGCCTCGCAGCTCGCTCCGCCCCGCCCCGCACATCCACCTCGCACGCTCAGACCACGGCAGGCACACGGGTTCATTACAGTCGTCACGGACACTCAGCGCGGCGCCGAGCCCTCCATGCGCTGGTGGCGCACCAGGCTCGACTCGGGCATCGCCGTCTCGGCCTGCACGAGGTCCAGCTGGCGGCGGGCCTAGTGCGGGGGGTCAGCGCGGCGCACGCACTCGCACACCGGCGGCACTCACCTCCTGCCAGTTCGCGAGGTTCTGCACGGAGCATCTGTCAGCCCGAGCCGCCGCAGCAGAACTTGCCCTACTCACGACGCGGCAGAACTCGCGGTGCAGCCGGGCGTAGCCGAGGAACATCGCGCGAAAGTCGGCCACCTTGTTCTTCTGGAAGCCGTCGAGCGCGGCCTGGATCGCCGACGTGGCGAAGCGCAGGTCGTCGGCGGTGAGCGTGAGGGCCTCGTCGAGCTGTGCGCGGGTCAGCATGAGCAAAGGGCGCCAAAGCATCTCGCAGCATCTTGCAGTGTCTCGCAGCGGTACAGCATCTCGCGGCGCATCTCGCAGAACCGCCGCATTTCGCAGACAGCGTCTCGCAGCATCTCGCAGCCCTGCAGCACTTGACCTGGCTCACTCACCTGCGAGATCGACTCGCGCAGCTTGCCAATGTTGTTGCGCCGCGTCGCGTCCGGGTCGACGTCCATGACGGCGTGGAACGTGTGGCTGAGCGCACCGAGCAGGCCGCCGCCGGAGCGCCGATTAGGCGCACTCGATGCGGGCACGCGCGCCGAGCGCGGGGCGGACGGGTCCGTCCAGTCCGGTGCGGCGGCGGGCGCGGCATCGAGCGACGACTGCGCCGGCTCGTCCTCGGCGGCCGTGCCAAACACGCTCGAGCGCGCCGCGCCCTTGTTGACGCCGTCAAGCACGCCCGTGCGCGCGCCGCGGTCCGGAATCAGGCCGCGCCCGCCGGCGTTGAGCGCCGCCTGCAGCCGCTGTGCCTCGGACTCGATGCGCTCGAGCTCCTCGAGCTGCAGCCGCTTCGCCTCGACGGCGTCCTCGGCGAGCTCAAACTGGAGATGCTTGAGATGCCGCCAGCGCAGCAGCTTCTGCACGATGCTGCCGTACGCCGCGTACTCGGACAGCGGCTCGGTGAACGTCGCCTCCCACTCGGACAGCTGCGGTGTGTCAGCCATGTCGCGCTGTGCCTGTGGACCACGCACCATCTCGCCGATCGACATGAATGTGCCATCCGCCGCCTGCCCCGTCCGCTCGATGGCCGCCGCCAGCTCGCCATTCTCGCTCAGGCTAAAGCCGTTGAGCACCGCGCCGAGCTCGGCATAGTCCGCCGACGAGTCTGCAGGCACAGGTCAGACGGCAGCTAGTGCAGCACGTATCGCTCGACACTCAGGCTCGCCACTCACCACCCCAGCGCTTGATGATCCGGCGGTTGCCTTTCTCCAGCGGCCCCGCCACATGCGCCGTCCACCGGTTCGTGAACGCCTCCGAGTCGGCAAAGCGCGCATTCGGCACACGCAGCGGCGTCGCGGCGCCCGGGAGCGGCAGCGCAGCGTACGCGCGGCTCGCCTGCGGGTCGGCGGGCGAGCGGACGGGCGCGCGTAGCGACGACTTCGGCAGGTCCGAGAGCGGCGGCGAGGTGCTGATGTCGTGCTGTGCGAGCGGGTCAGCCACACGCAGCACATCGCCTCACACAGCACCTACCCAGCTCTCGCGGCCGTCGCAGAAGCGCCGCAGCAGGTCCTCCTTGCCCAGCACCGGGTCCGTCGCACAGCGCTCCAGGAAGCTACCGAGCAGCCGCCGGCGCCGCGCAATGATCGCGGCGTCCTCCTTGGCGCGCGCCTGCTTCGCCGCATAGTCGCCGATGGAGTGCTTCGGCGGCAGCGGCGGCACGAGGCGCGTGGGGTGCAGCGCAATGAGCGCCGTGCGCAGCGCCTCAAACTCCGAGTAGCGCCGCTTCGACGAGAGGCCGAGCGCGGGCAGCGAGATGTGGTACACGATAAACGTCGACGGCCCGCCGTCCGACGACTTGAGCGCGTCGACGATGCGGATGTGGCCGTGTGCACCGGCCGGCAGCGACGGCTGGGCATGGATCAGCGAAAAAAAGCATACATCCGGCGCTGGCGCACTCACCCGTGCCGACTTGCGCCGCTGGTCCGGCGGCAGCGACGCCGACGAGCCGGCCAGGGCAGGGGGCGCCTCTGCGTCGTCGTCGGCGGTGCCGCTACTCCACGCCGGCGGCTCCGACGCAATCTGCTCAAAGCCCTCATCATCGCTGCGCACCGCCGCAGCTTCAGGCCGCAGCGACGGCGGCACCTCGTACGCACTGCCGCCCCACTGCACGGCGGCGTCCTCGGCCGTGTCATCTCGCGGCGACGCGGGCCCCGAGGGCGGCAGCGCCGGCACGGGCTTGTCGGACGCGGACGGCGCGGCGCCGTCGGCGTCGCTGTGCGCTGGCGATGCGGCACCGCTGGCAGAGTGCAGGAATGGGTCGGGCGGGCCCGACGGCGGCGAGGACATGGCGCGAGAGGGAGCGGTGAGGGAGCGGTGCAGGTGGAGGGGACGCAGGCGCGGCGCGGCGCCTCGGCGCGATGGCAGCAGGGCCCGGCGCGCCACGATGTTGCGGCACGGCCCAGCCGCCGCTGACTGCGCGCGCAGCATGCTGGCCACAGCTCACAGGTCGAGCGATGGCTGCGCATCCACTGTGCGTCCACAGCCGCGAAATTGCAGGCAGACTGACGAGACTGCAAACACAAAGCCTGGCTTAAGCCAGCGGCAGGCCAGCGCTGGGAAGGCGACGGCAAGAAGCACGGCCGGCCCGGCCACGGCGCACGGATCGCCAAGGCGCTGTGCTCCCACGCACCGAGCATGGTGTGGGGCCTCGTGGACAAGACAAAGACGCCCGGCTGCGCATCGTCCGGCGCTCTGCACACCACCACCACACCCCCGCTGCCGCCATGCCCGTCGCCTTCATCCTCACGCCCGCCAGCCTGGCGCACAGCGCCCTCTTCGCCGGCTACTACTCTTACCTCAACGCCAATGTCATCTGTGCGTGGCGCGCCGGTGCCGTGGTGGCCGGCGAGCTCGAGTCGGCGGATCGCTTGCACCAGGGCCCATACTGGGGGCTTCAGCGAGGATGAGCGCCATGGCCTCGTCGGCGGATCGCTTGCATCAGGGCCCATACTGGGGGCTGCAGCGAGGATGAGCGCCATGGCCTCATCTGCTCCTCGCTGCACGCCGCGCCCCTGCCGCCTGGCTGTGCCTCTCTTGCCGTACTGACATGCCCTCCGCAGCGCTGCGCCGTGCCTCGCAGACGGCGCTCGGCAGTGTGGTCAAGTCGAGCAACGCGCCGGCCAGAGACTCCGAGGCGCTGCAGCGCCGCCTCGTGCGAGCCGTGCGGGCACAGACAGACTTTGCGATGAGCACGCCGATTGCGGTGAGTGCGCGGCGAGGACAGCGTGCGAAGGAAGCGACGGGACGGGTCAGGCGCAACGAGGAGCAGAGTAGCGTCGCGAGAGACTGCCTAGCGGGTCAGACGCAGCGATGAGCAGAGCGTCGCGTGTGAATGGCCTTGCAATCTGCCCGCCTTGCACATTCGAGCCATGGCCCACACTGACGTCCCTCCCAAGCTCTTCTTCCTGACCATCTCCGAGCTCAACGGCGCGCCCACTGCACTCGTCCACGGCCTCGCGACGACGCTGCTGCTCGCGCGCGTGGCGGCGTCGCAGCTGACGCTCCTCGTGCCCGAGGAGCACGGCCTCAATGTGCGCGAGAACCGCATCGTCCATGCGTGGCGCGGCGGAGCAGTCACGCTTGGCAACCTTGCTGCTGTACGTCGCTCGGCCCTGACGCACGTACTCGCTGACTCACGCGCCCCTGAACCAGCTCACGGCGGCCGGATACAATGTGAGCTGCCTGGCCAAGCGATGCCGCGCATCTGCTGATTCTCGTCGCAGCTATACCTTGGCTGGGACGCGCTCCTGGCCTTTGCGGGCGTGCGGACGTGATGCATCAATGCCATTCATGCATCGGGTGCGGCGAGTGCAGGCGGCGGGTGCGAGTCGCCGAAGCTCAGGCGCGGCTGCTTGGCGATCCAGCTCTCGAGGGCGAGAGTCTCCTCGACGCGCGACAGGCCCACCTGTAGCGCCTTGGGCTCCACGCTGAACGTCAGGCGGTAGAAGCCTGGCTTCGGGTGGTGGTACTGGGCACCCGGCGCCACTGGGCACGGACGGGTAAGCAGTGACTCTGACTCAGTCGCTCGTGCCAACGCACCGAAGACCTTCTTCTCGATGAAGCGGCTCGTCAGCTCCGCCTCGCCCTTGGCCGTCTTGCCGGAGAAGCGCGAGAGGTCGATCAGCAGAAAGTGGCCCGCATTCGCAGGCGCAAGCGGAATGCCGTGGTGCGCAGCCCACGCCGCCACGTAGTTGAATGCGGCAGCGAGACGCCGGCGCTGCTCGGCGAGGAACCAGAGGCAGTACTCGCCTGTATCAGGGCGTCAGTAGGCGAGCGGCACGGAGGACACATTGCACGCACGATCCTCGAGCAGCGTGAACCACAGATTGCCCGCCGGCGACGACGCCTGCGCCATGAGGCCAAGGGCAGTCATCGCCGCGATGGCCTCAGGGTTGCCCTGTGAGATGAAAACGCCCAGACGGAAGCCCTGCAGAGGCAGTGCGTCAGCGCAAGCGTGCACTCCTGCCGCGCTTCGCCTACATTGATGCTGAAGTCCTTGCTGGCCGACGTGACAACGTGCAGCTTGGACAGCGGCAGGCCGGCCTCCTTCTGCAGGTCCATGGAGAGCACCGAGTGGAACTGCGGCGGGTCGGGCACGGCACGCGTGCGGAAGCACGAGCGTGCGTAGATCTCGTCCGACACGAGATGCAGGTCGTGCTTGGCCGCAAAGCGCGCGAGCGCCACGATGCTGTGAGCAGCAGGGTGAGCACGGCAGCTGCGTAGACCATCCCCCTCACGCACTGCTCGCGAGGATAGATGCAGCCGGTGGGATTCTGCGAGCGAGTCAGCGAGGTGCGGCTTCACAGTCCGCCGATACGCACATGCGGGTTGCAGAGCAGCAGCATGCGCACGGTCGTGCCCGCCCTCCTGGCCTGCTGCAGGGCGGTCTCATACTTCTCCACCAGCTGCGCCGCCGTGAGCGTCTCGGCGGGCGACGTCGGCACCTCGACGATGGTCGCATCGGCGCGGACAGTAAAGTCGTTGAAGAACGCGCTGTCAGGCATTCCCATCAGCTGGGCCTGCCACACGCATCACAGCAGGCTCACTTGTACGCGGGCGTCGAGAGCAGGATGCCCTCCTGCTTCGCACACAGGACCCACGCGACGGCGTCGAGGATGCCCGTCGCGCCCGAGCCGACGACGGTGTGCTTCTCCTTGACGGCGTGAATCAGGCGAGGTGCTTCGTGCGGACCCTCGTGCGGCTCCAGTCCGTCGGGCACCTCGTTGTACAGGCCGGCGAGGGCGTCTGGGGTGCGCAGTGTGAGTCACTGCGCAAGCGTGCCGCGGATCAGCGCACCGCACCGAGCAGGCGGGCCGAGGCAAAGACGCGGTTGGCGTACTGCGGCCAGCGTCAGTGAGGCGGCTGTGAGGCACATTGCGCTTGCACTGACGGTCATCTCGGGCGCACTGAGGTGCAGGCGGCCCGGCTTGTTGAAGTACTGCGGCGCGGCATCAGCGTCGCTCTCGGCCCTCGGCCGGACGTCGCGCTATGCCCTCTCCACACGCACCTCGAGCAGCTCGGTGCGCAGCAGCGAGTTGTCGGCGACGCCGAGCACGACGATGCCGTCGGGGTTGCTGTCGGCGTCGTACTGGTCCTGGAACACCTTGAGGATGGCTTGCATCTCGGGGCCAAACGAGGCGGCATTGCGCGCGCCGCGGGGCGAGAGGTTGTGCGGGCCTGACGCCTGCACAGACTCTGCGCTGGACGGGCCTTTGCGCGCATCCTTCTCGCGCGTGAGGCATGCCGAGAGGAGGACGCCCATGGTGAGGCGCAAGGCGAGCTGGCGCTGCGGCGGTGGTGGTCGGAGCCAAGGTGGAGGCACACCGTGAGCGGCGCGAGGTGCAGCGGCGAGCTCGAGGCGCGGCGCGGCGCCGCGCACGGACATCGCTTGCGCCGTGCTCCTGTCCGGGCCTGCCTCTGCTCCACCACCATCCGCCTCGCACCACATCCGTCCGTACCCGCACCGCGACGGCTGCGCAGGCCGGCACCGCCCTGCAGCATGCCGGCCGCTGCCGCAAGCGCCGCTCCCGCCACGCCCATGTCGGCGCCGCAGCTGCAGCGTGCCCTTGCCGAGGCGCAGGACGAGCTACTCGCCGGCTCAGGCGCCGCCGCGCTGCGCCCCGCACGCAACGCCGACGCCACGACCGGCACGCTCGCCGCCGTCACGCGTGCCGGCAGCCGCCTGGAGCGCATCGTCGACGCCGCACCGGCCGTAGGCAGTGCTGCGCCGTCGCCCTTGCCGCGCGTCCCCAAGAGCGGCGCCCTGCCTGACGACGACGACGAGCACGACGCTCTGCCGGCGTCGCGGCTGCGTCTGGCGCCCTCGGTGCTGCGCACAGCCGCGCCGCATGCCCGGCATCGCGCCTCATCGGCCGCCTCCTCTGCGTCAGGCTCGTCGACGCCGTCCTCGCCGCGCTCGCCGCTCTCGCCTGGCCTCGCATCGCCGCCGCCGCAGTGGGCCACGGCGCTGTCGTGGTCGCCGCCGCGCGGGCCCTCGCCGGCACCGGGAGCGCCGTCGGACGCATCGCCGCGCGAGCTGCCGGGCATCGCCGCTGCGCGTGCCCTGCTGGGTGAAGCACCCGCCCGGCCGCGCTGGCGGCCCACCGCCGCCTTGCTGGCGTGTGCAGAGCGCGGCACCACTGCGCACGGCGAAGCATCGTTGCCAGGCACAGCCAGGCTAGACACGCACGGCACCGCGTCGCGCTCCGCCACGCCGTCGTTCTTCCTCCAGTCGTTCCCCGACAATGAAGACTGCCATGCGGAGGCGACGCACCATGCGCTGCCGCTCTTCTTCGACTCTAGCGCCGAGCCGTCGCCCTCGCTGTCCGCCGGTCTGCTCTCGTCCAGCCCGGCTTCGTCTACGCAGCGCCGCAGCGCGCTGGCATCGCCGCGGCTGCCCACGACGGCAAGCGCGAGCCCTGCCCTGCTCAGCAAGTCCACTGCACCAAGTGCACTGTCTTCCACATCGGCAACAGTCAGGCTGCACGGCAACGCGCGCAGTGCGCGGGAGTACGGCGATGTAGGCCCTGCCGACGAGATTGAAGATAGCTTCACACGTGCGCGCTCTGCGCGACGCGACGACGGGAGCTCCGACGAGTCGCTTGCAGAGCTTGCGCCCGAGATTGCTGCGCGTCCCCGCCTGAGGCGGTCTGCGTCTGGCTCCTCGAACCGCTCGTGGCAGTCGGGCACCTCGGTTGGGAGCGCCGAAGTCCAGTCACCCTCGCGCTCGTCGGCGTCTGAGCGACAAGCACCAGCAGAAGCCAGCATCTCGCCGGCGCCCAACGGGCAGACGCACGGCCGCTTCGCTCGGGACGTGCACTGCATCGGCTGGGTGGAGATCGGAGGCAAGGCAAAGGGCCACGTCGAGTACGAGATACGGGTGCTCACAAAGTCGGTAAGTGCCCTGACGCGGCAAGCCGGAAGCGGTGGCTCAACACAGCGCGCCGGTCGAGCCTGCACTGACGCGCCTCGCTCAGGGAACAACGGTGACCGTCTTCCGCCGCTTCTCGTCCTTCGTCGCCCTGCGAAAAGCGCTGGGCAAGTCGCGGCCCGTGAGTCATGCTTGCACCGCGCGAGGCGCTCTGCTGACGCTGCGACAGGCCCATGCCTCGGCCCTGCCGGCTCTGCACACGCGCCACAACGTGCTGCAGAAGTACTCGCCCGCGCTGCTGCAGGAGAGGCGGGCAATCCTCGAGCGCTGGCTCAGGGGCGTGATGCTCGACCGGCGGTGGGGCGGCGCCACAGTCGTGCGCGAGTGGCTGCTACAATGACATTAACCCTGCTCCTCCTCACCACACCAGCACCGGCTTGATCGTCGTGCCGGCCTTGGCGTCCTTGAGCGCCTGCGCCATGTTCTCGGGCTTGTACTCCTGCACGAGATGCTGCATCCACGGCGACTGCTTGTGCAGCTTGAGCAGCAGCGGCAGAATGATGAGCGGGTCGCTGTCGCCCATCATCACCTGGAAGAGGTCAGCTCGGCTTCCGACTGACACAGCGCGCGGACTCACTCCGCGGATCGTTTGCTGGTTGTTCAGCAGGTTGAACACGTCCACCGGGATGCTCGAGCCGGGCGCCGGGGCGCCGACGATGGCGAGCCGGCCGCGGTGCCCCAGTGCCTTGATGCCCGTCTCCACGCAGGCCGGCACGCCGCTCGCCTCGACGACCATCGTCGCGCCCGTGCCGCCGTGCGACAGCTCGCGCACCTTGGCGGCCACCTCGTCGGACGAGAGGCCGGCGCTGTTGATCGTGTGTGTCGCGCCGAGCTTGGTCGCGAGTGCGAGGCGCGCGTCGTCAATGTCGACCGCGATGACGACGGGAATCTGCTTGGAGGCGACCTGCAGAAAAGCATCAGACACGGCCACGCGCTGCGCTACAGCGTGACTGACCTTGGACGCAAACACAAGGCTGCCAGCACCCACGCAGCCAATGCCGAACACGGCCAGGGTCTGCGGCGTGGCGTCCGCCTCGACGCCGTCGCGCTGCAGCGTCTCGCCATTGAGCGACATGAGGCTGCGCAGCTGCTCAAACGAGCGCGGCGTGTGGCTTGGCATGAGCGAGAGCGCCGTGCTGAAGCCCGTGATGATGCCGCAGCCAAACGCAGTGACGGGCGGCAGCGCCGTGTCGGCATCGACCTTGACGAGCGACTGAAAGTGGCACGGCATGTGGCTGGCAAACGACGACTGGCCAAAGAAGCCAACGACGACGTCGACGCCGCTGTCGAGCTTGATCGTCTGCTGCTGCATGCGCTCGTCGTAGCAGGCGAGGTTCTTCGGCGTAAAGACGTGGCAGCCGCTGAGCTGGCCGGCCTTGCAGAAGGAGCACGCCTGGCAGCGCGTAAAGGAGGCCATGACCTTGTCGCCGACCTGCAGCGGGCCCGCGTAGTCGGCCGGCAGCCACTCGACGATGCCGCTGCCCTCGTGGCCGAACACGGCGGGCGAGGGGATCATCGGCCCAAAGAGGCCGCTCCACGCCGAAATGTCGGTGTGGCAGACTGGGCAGAGCGTCAGCAGCAGGCTCAGCAGCACGACCACAGCAGCTACGCACTGCCCGAAGCGATGAAGCGCACAAGCGCCTGGCCGGCAGGGATGTTGTCGGTGTTGATGGTGAAATTCTCAAGCACAAAGGGCTCTGCCGGAGCGGGCGCGACGAGCGCACGGGCCTTGAACGAGGGCATGGCGTAGTGACGAGGGGGTCAGATGGGGACGGCGAGCGGCTGCGTGGAGCGGCACGGCCACGCCTTATGAGGCTTTGGCGTCGGTGGAGCGATGCAAGCTGTGGACCGTGCGAGCCGGCATGTGCGCTGCCGGCGCTGCGGCGCAGCGAGGCAATGCGGGGTGCAGACAAGATGGCAGCATCAGGGCAGGGTGAAGAGGAGCTAGCAGCACGCGGCACCTGGGCACTGCTGCCGTTGCAAGCGAGCTGCAATGCGCAGTGCGGGGCATCGCTGTGCGTTGCGCCGGGTGGAGTGGCTGTGGCTGCTGCCACGCTTGTGCAGCGGCAGGCGGCAGCACAGCGGAGCACAAGGCAGCCCCGGCGTGCACACGACACCACCGCGACTGCGGCCGTCGGGCTGTCATCAAAGCGTGCAGATGCAGCGCAGTAAGAGTCGCTCAGGCAGCACAAGCGCCGTCAGGGCACGCTGCCCTCCTTCCCCGCTCCGGCGCCGGCACGCGGCTCGGCCTTGTCGCCGGCTGAGCGGAGTGTGGCGCTTGTGCCGTGCTCCCACGCCCGCCGTGCGGGGCTGTGGCCGGCTCGAGTGCAGCCGGACGTGCAGAGCGCGCTCTGCCGTGAGCCGGCTGCGACCTGGACATGCGGCGTCGCGCCACATCGCCTCCGTCGGGGCACATCCGCTCCGCTGCGCCAGGCTTGAGTCTGCGCTGAGCGTGTGCATCGTGCTGCTGCAGATCGCTGTGTACCTGCACTGTCGGACGGCTGTGCCTGCAAAGGGCGATGGAGGCGCGTTGTGCCGGCGCCGGGCGGGCAGCCTGTTGGACCGGCTATGGCGCGCGAGGCCGGACCCTCGCCTTCCAGCCGGTCGAGCATGCTCGTCCCCGGACACGGTCCGTGCGTCGTTGTTGGGCAGGACGGACCCTCGCCGCCGCCATAAAAGCAGCCATGCAGCCCCTGCCGGCTCTGCGCTGCCCATCGCATCGCCCGACACGCAGCACCAAGCGCACGTCTGGCACTGGCCTTGCCGCAGCAGCGCACGAACAGCAGCGCCCGGCGTCCGACGACGAACTCGACGCGCACAACGACGCCACAAGCCGGTGCTCTGCACACACAGCATGCCCGCTGTGCTCGGCCTGAGCGCAGCCGACGCGGCCGCTGCCGCGGCGCTGGCGCTCGCCTCGCACTTCATCTTTGCACGCATCGAGCTGTGGCCGGCACGCCTCTTTCCCGCCTGGGCGGCGCTGTACTCGGGCAGCGTGCTGCTCGTGCGCCACACGCGCGCACCCCTCGCCCTCTCGGCGGCGCTGGGCCTCGTCGCCCGTGGCGCCGTGGTGTACGTGGCGACGCTGCTGCTGTCGATCGGCGTGTACCGCGTCCTGTTCCACCGCTGCTGCGCCTTTCCGGGACCTACGTCGTGTGCTCTGTCCAAGGTGCGTCGTGTACATGGCGCCGCTGACGACACTGGCTCACGGCAGCCCTGTCGCAGTGGGCCACGGTGCCAGTCGATGCCGCCGGGCAGCGCGCCCGCTACGTGCAGCGCCTGCACTCGCAGTACGGCGACATTGTGCGGACCGGCCCGCGCGAGCTGTCCATCAACGACCCGAGTGTCATCGCGGCGACGTGTGGCGCACAGTCAAAGTGCTCCAAGGGCCCGTGGTACGCGGGCGCCACGGCGGGCAAGGGACGCCGCTCGCGCAGCCTGCACACGACCACCATCAAGGCCGACCACGCCGCCCGCCGCCGCATCTGGGACGGCGGCTTCAATGCCCGCTCGCTGCGCTCGTACGAGCCGTCGCTCCTCGCCCTCTCGCGCCTGCTTGTTGAGCGCATGGGCGAGAGCGCGGCGCGCGGCGAGAAGGTCGAGGTCGACGAGTGGGCGGCGTACTACGGCTTCGACGTCATGGGCCAGGTGGGCTTCAGCTCGAGCTTCGAGTGCGTGGAGAACGGCAAGCTGTCGGAGGGCGTGCAGGTAGGTGGTGCAAGCGACTCCGCCTTGTGGCGCTGCTGCTGACACCTCTGCACAGCTCCTGCAGGACGCCATGGCGGCCATCCAGACGCTCTCCAACGTTCCCTACCTCGGCGAGATTGCGCGCTACCTGCCCGTGCGTTCTGTCCCTCGCACTTGCAGCCACACCACTCACGGCTGCTGCTGCAGAGCCCGATCGTCAAGCTCGAGGACTGGGTCGCCGGGTCGCTGCGCAGGCGCATGGACGATCCCAGCGCCGGTCCCGATGTGTTCAAGCATCTGCTCGAGGTCGACCAGGAGTCCGGCTGGAAGCACAACTGGGAGGAGCTGCGGAGCGACGCAATGGTAAGCGCTGCCGCATGTGTCCTCTGCCCCATCTGACCGGTCCCCGCAGCTGCAGGTGGTTGCCGGCAGCGACACCGCATCGACGACGCTCGCAGTGTCCTTCTACTACCTCCTCACGCACGACAAGGCGATGGAGGCGCTACGCAAGGAGCTGCACCACGTCTTCAAAGGTGGGTCGGCGCCGAGTTGCAGCCTGTCCGGCTTCAGCTCACGCAGGCCTTCGCAGGGGCTGAGCCCGACAACTTCGACGCGCTTGCCAAGGAGTGCCGCTTCCTCAACGCGGTGATCAACGAGAGCCTGCGGCTGTGGCCTCCGGTCGCCTCCGGCCTGCAGCGCGTCACGCCTGCCGAGGGCCTCACGCTCAGCGTCGCCGGCAAGCAGCTCGTCGTGCCCGGCGACGTGATCGTCACGACGCCGACATTCCTGATGCAGCGTGACCCGAGGAACTTTGCGCCGCACCCCGAGGCGTTCAGGCCGGAGCGCTGGCTCGCGCCCGAGCACGAGGAGAACTTCAACCTCAAGGCGTTCAACCCGTTCAGCTACGGCCCCGAGTCATGCATCGGCAGGCACCTGGCCTTCATGGAGGTGTGTGAGCACCGGTCTCGCCCCCAGACGACGCTCACACGATGCTGCTAGATCCGCATCGCGGTCGCACAGGTCGTCCATGCCTACGACATGGAGCTCCTCCCAGAGTTCTCGGCCGAGGCGTTCGAGGCGGGCATCGTCGACTTCTTCACGGCAGGACGGAAGAAGAAGCTGCCCATCAAGCTGACGCCACGGCGCTAGCGACGGAGCGGCAGAAGCTGCGTCTGCGTCGGCTCTGTAGAAGAGCCTGTGCGCTGCGTGAAAATGCACTTACCGTGTCCTCGATCCTGCCTTCGTGATGTTCCTGTTGTGGACCCAATCCCCGTGACCTCCGCGGCGCTTTGTCCATAGCCTGGCGCTGTGGTGAACGCCACGAATGCCGACCCGCTGTCAATGCGGCGGGATCTGCTCGGGAAGATCCCGCTCGTCTGCATTGCCCGGCCGTCTGCCGCAGCCACGGCCCGCTTGCCCGCTCTCGGCTGACCGAAAGCCTCCGCACATCCAAACCTGCCACTCCCCTCCTGCTGGCACGTCTGCGCTCTACGACTTTGCCGGCGTGCCTGCCTGCCTGCCTCTTCTTATGAACCTGTCCCATTATCTACCGGCTGCCCGGCTGCGAGCTGCCAGAGTCCCTTCGCAGCGCGTCTGTCTACTCCTCCTCATCATCGAACTGGCTGATCGCCTCGCGCTCCCGCTGCGGCACTGGAGGGGCAAGAATGCGGTCAGCCTAACGGCTCGGGAACCTACATTGCCGGACTGTACGTCCGCGATGATGCGGCGACCTGGACGCCGCAGCAACAGGACGGCAAGTAGCGCAGAGCGACGCTCCTGCCGCCGGCGCAATCGGCTCGCTCCGCCCTGCTGGCATACACTCACGTGGGTATGTGGTGGGGATGCGTTCGGTCGGCTGCCAGCCGTATGCGCGCCGGATCGGCGGCACGGCGACGACAGCGACGGGGCCTGAGGCGCGCGCAGAGGGGTCAGCATGCGGCAGCGATGGGCGACAGCTGCGCGACGCACCGGCGGCGCCGATGAGCAGGCTGTAGAAGACGACGGGCTGCTCGTGTGCCGAGCGTTGCTGCAGGGGCGGCGTGAGGCGTCAGCAATGCGCGGGACAGCGACGAACACACTCGGCTGCTGCGCGCGGCCATCGCCTGATGCCTTGGCTGCGAGGGCAAGCCGAGAGCAGCAGGACGAGCGCGCAGCGAGGACGAGGGCGCACTGTCCAGCGTGCCCGGAGCCCAGCCTCTGGCGCAGCGCGCGTGCTTCTGCGGAGTCGGCACGCACCAGGTAGCGCCACGTGCCGCGCAGCGGGTTTGCGGAGAAGATCGAGGCCATTGCGGGGGAGAGACGGGGGGTCGCGGAGGTGGGTCGCGAAGGGGCGCGGGCGCCCGAGCGCGACGACGACGGCGGCGGCCGCGCGCGCCAGTGACTATAGCGGGCAAGTGTATTCGCCATTACAACTGCAGCTCGCGCGTCACGTGCGGCGTTGCCTTGGTCCACCTCAGCTGCCCCTGCCTCTGCCCTTGCTCCTCGCCTGAGCCGCTGCGATAGGAGGAGGAGTGCAGCTGAAGATGCAGATGGCAGCAGCGGCTGGTGAAGCTGTCGCACGCGGCAAGCAGGACCGAGGCAGGCTCGCGCGCTTGCGCGTTTGGCGGGCCTGGCCTGGCGCGCGTGCTTGGCGGGCGTGGCAGCCAGGGGCCCTGCGGCCTCACGATGGTGGTGGGTCACCAAGGCGAGGCTGAGGAGCAGAACATGAGCGCTGGCACGGCGCGCCTCTATGTGTGCTGGCTCGGGCAGCCGAGATGGAGCTCATCAGCGATGACGGCGCGCCGTGTCGGTTGCGGTGCGGCGAGGCTCCAAGCGTCGCGCGGCGGCGGCGACGCAGATGCAGCGGAGCCGCGCGCCTTGGCCGCGCTGCCGTTGCGCGCCCCGCAGCTGAGGCCTCTTGCGTCCCAACCCCCACACCGAAACGCCGCATCCCCACTCGCCCGCTCATCACCAGCACCGCCAGCGCTCTACCGCAGCAGCAGCACCTCTCTGGCGCGTGCCCTCGGCCTCGGCGCCCCTTCGCCCCCCGCAGCTGTGCGCTGCCGCACTCCGCGTCCGCGCCGCCCTCGCCCTCGCCCTAGCTGCGCTTGCCGCGCCCACCCGCTGCCCCGCATGTCGTCGCCGCCGTCGCCGTCGCCGCTCTCGCGGCTCATCCTCGACCTGCGCGGCCAGCGCTTCCACCTCGAGCGCGACACGCTCATGACGCTGCCCGAGAGCGTGCTCCTCTGCCTCTTCCCCAATGGCCTCGTGCTCAGCCGCCAGCAGGGCCGCTACGAGAGTGACGACGAGGGCGAGGGTGCCGAGGCCGAGGACGAGGAGGATGTGTACCTGGTGGACGTGAGTTGCAGTGGCTGCAGCGTGCGCACACGCCGCACGCGCATGGGCTCGAGCGATGGCGGTGCGGGTGCGGGCTCCCGGCAGATGGTCGCCGAGGCACGGTGCGCGTCGATTCGCGTGCAGACTGTGCATGCCGGGTGCAGGCTTTGCGCAGACGTGGGCGCTGTCGTGGGCCGGCTGGGTTGAATCGCGGCTTGCAATGCGGCGCTTGGCAGGCGCGGCACTACATCGTCGACGCACCGTGAAGCAGCGAGCGGATCCTTCGCGCTGCGTCACTCTGCCCCGCCAGCTTGTATGTCACACTCGCTCACTCTCTCGCCTCACAGTTCGACCCGACATGCCTGCGCTACGTGCTGACGTTCTTCAAGTCGGCGCGCGATGACTTCTACGGCGTCGACACGCCGTCGCGGCGCTCCGTGCTCGGCGCCTCGCACCCGTCGGCCGGCGGCGTCGACGACTCGTTCAGCAGCGCCAACGGCGCGCCGGGCAACCCGCTGCTGTCGAAGCAGGCCGTGATTGTGCTGCGCGAGGAGCTCGAGTTCTTTGCCATTCCGCCGCGCAAGGCGCGCGCCGGCGAGGCCAAGGGCGACGAGGAGAAGAGCGCGCTCGAGCTGCGCGCGCTCAAGGCGCGCTGCGGCGAGGCGCTCATCAGCCGGCGCTCCATCTTCACGGCGCTGCAGCGCAACGTGTCCAAAGAGAACAACATGGCCGAACAACACCTGATCGACATGCTGTGCATGTCGGGCTTCGAGCGCGACGACAGCTGGGGCTTCCGCGCCGTCGAGCCGAGCCGGTGCTGCATCACGAGCATCGCGCTCGTGCTGCTCAAGACGGGCATCAGCGTCAAGGACGACGGCGGCGAGATTGCCATTGACCAGCAGCAGCTGGCGACGGCTCAGAAGCTGCTGCTCTTCTGGCGGAAGCCTGCGGTGAGTGGCGCTGCGGCAAATGTGCGCTGCAGCAGTGCACGTCGCACAGCGCACTTACGTCGGCATCCGCCTGCTACTTGCACTCTCGGGCGTGCGCTGACTCGCCTTGCTCACCACAGCGCAAGTGCTGGTGGGACGGTGTCGATGTCGTGCTGCCCGTCACCTCGCCGGCAGCCGCAGCCAGCCCGCCGTCGCCGCCCGCCGCCCTGCTGTCCACGCTGCCCGCCGCCGAGGCCGAGCTGCTCAAGGACGGCAAGGGCGAGGTGGTGCGCGTGTGGGCGCGGCGCGTCTGGACCCTCGAGCTCAGTCTGGTGAGACCGGCCCGTGAGCCTGCGGCAGCCGGGCGCTGTGCTGACTGGCCTCATCCGACAGATCTAATCCGCACCGTCCAGGCGTTTGCCGCTGTCCGGCCGCCTGCGCGCTCCACATTCGCTCCTGCACCGCCCATCATCTTCGCTCCTTCCACGTTCTCTCTCCCACTCGCGTACTCGAGTGCCTGCCGTTCTGCTCCGCTGCGCCGCGCACATCTCTCCACCCAGCACCCCCACAGCACACACGCCGGCGCAATGTGCATGCTCTATACCCACCCTCTGCTGTGCTATTCCGTGCGAGTGCGATGCCGAGGCCTGCAGGCGTCATCGCAAGTCAGGGGCCACATTTGGGCAGCGTGACCCGTGCACTTTGGCGCTGAACTCGAGCTTGGCAGCGCGGCGCCGCGCGAAGGCCGTCACGCGCGCAGTCCAGGTCGCGTGCCTCTGCGCATCACTCCCTCTCACCACCACCACCTCCCACCCGTGCATCTCGCCGCTCCGCCCCACGCACTGCATTCTCGCCGCCCAGCAGCTCTGCCGCCGCCAGCCAGACGCCCACCGCCGTGCGCCCACAGCGCTGCCCTGCGGCTGCGTCTGCCGCGAGCCGCTGAGCCTCCACTTGGAGGCAGCAGCAAGCATGGCGGAGCGCTACGGCGGCGCGTACGACGGGCCACGCCACTCTAGCTACGGGGAGGGCAGCGACGCAAGAGAGTACGGCTACGGCAGAGAGCGCGCCTTTGACAGCGGACGCGGCTACGACAGGGGCTACGGCGCCCAGCACTACGCAGACGAGCGGGCTCGCGATCCGCGCAAGCTCGTCGCGTACGAAGACGACCGTGCGGGCGACCACTACCGGCCGGAGCATCGGCACGCCTCGTCTCGCTATGAGCGAGCCGACGATGCACGCGACGCTGTCGGCTCTGTCCGGCATCCGTCTGATCGCTACGGTCACGACTACTACGCGACGTCCTGGCAGTACGAGCGGCGCGACGAGGAGCGCTACTCTGCTTGGCGCGGCGGGCAGGGCCGCAGCCAGGCAGAGGAGCACGACGGCGCAGCGTTCCGGCCCGAGTCGTCGAGGGCGCAGCACTACCGCCCGCATGAGCATGACTGGCAGCATGCAGAAGCTGTGCGGGAGCCGGCCTCCGGACGAGCGCAGGCGCGCCCGCGGGCGGGCGCCCAGATGCGCCTGGTGGCGCTCGCCTCCGATGTGCTGCCTCATGGACAGCGCATCGCCATTGTCGACTCAAGAGACGAAGGTGTCAGCATCGTGAGTACGCACTCGTGCCTTACAAGTCCTCTGTCGCCGCGTCTCTTCGACGGACGCGCAGCTGAGCAAGCGCAGCACGGCATGCTTGTCGTTAGCCAGCGGCTCTCTGATGAGCCGCAATCGGATAGAGGCGGACCGGCATCGCCATCACGCTACACAGTGCCAGAGCGCTGACCATCCTCACCGGCAGGGGCGCGATCGAGCATTCTCAGCCCGCATCAGACTGCCCGGTAGGAGCCGCCGGCCCGTGCTGCCGACTGCCACTGACGCGCCAGCTGCTACCCAGCGATGTCTGTGTCGAAGCACCATGCTAATCTGTTCTTTCTCGGCGACAACGGTGACAGCGATGACGCAGCGTGGGGCGTCACCGACGCGGGCTCGGTCCACGGCACCTTCCATCTCGCCGCAGCGTCCGCACCCGATGCCGACACCGCGGCCAAGATCTCTTCGAAGCGTTTCACGCGCCTGTCGGACCCCAAGAAGGCGAGCGCACCGAAGCAGCTTGCACATGGCGACTGGCTGCGCTGCGGCGCCACCACGTTCGAGGTGCACATCCACGGCGGCGCCGGCGCGCTGGCGTGCGAGCGATGCGCACTGGCTGCAGACGGCTCAAACGAGATCATCCTCTCGGCGGAAGCAGAGTCCGGGCACGCTGCTACTGCTTCCCGTCCCGCGGCAGCAGCGGCAAGCGTGAGCCTGCCTGGCGGCACAGCGAGCATGTCCCAAGCTCCGACAGTGGCAGGCGCTGCGAAACCTCGGGCGCAGATTGACCGCAAGATCGAGACGGAAGCGGTGCGGCGTGCGCGCATGCGCGAGATGCGCGAGATCTACCTCGGCGGCGGCACAGACGACGACGCCAAGCCTGCGGACGCCGGCGACGGGGCTGAAGATACGCAGGGCAAGCCGGCGTACATCGACCGCGCCGCTGAGCGCCGCGCCAAGCACCCGCGCGAGCCAGGACCGAAGCGCTGGAACCGCCGGCGAAGCGCATCACCACGGGCCGAGCCATCCAGGCCGGCGGCACGATCGACTCCGGGCGGTGCGGCGCAGTCGGCGCTGCCTCAGGCCGAGCCTGCCCGGGCAGTGCCGCTCGACGCCAACAACCGAGGCTTCCGCATGTTTGCTATGATGCAGCAGGGCGGCGCGACAGATGCTGGGTCGACAGCCGTCGCTGCCTCGTCGGCACCCGCCTCCTCGGCCCCCGAGGTGATCGCACGGGGCATCGAGGGGCGCGCCGGACTCGGCAGTGTGCGCCTGCGCGACGCCGAGGAGATCGGAGCCGCGGCGATGGGCGCTGCCTGGGCGCAGGGGGGCGCGTCGACTGGGCCAGGCTACAACAGCAAGGACGCGGTGCGCCGACGGTACGAGCAGTCGCTGGCGACCAAGCATGGCGGTAATTGAACGCGATCCGTCTGGCCACGGGCGGCTAGCGTGTCGTGAAAGGACCTCCAAGTCGCCTGCTGCCGGGCCATACCATGCCCAAGATGCGCGTGCAAGCTGCGGGGCGGCGGCCGTGTGGCAGAGCGAAATGGACATCCGTCCGGCGGCCGCACAGCATCGCAGACTGTCCGCAGTTGGAGCATACTTAGACCGGACACGCCGTACGGGTGTCGCCTTGCCAGCCCTTGGCGAAGAGCGAAGCAGCGAAGCGCATCGCGCAGCAGGCAGCATCAGTGCGTACGGCGGTTGCCTGAGTCTCAGCAGACAGAAAAGCTCAGGCACGCATGACGGCACCGGCAGCATGTGTAGCCGTGCACGGCGTGCGACCATCGTCCAAGGATGCTTGCGCCACATCAGCAGCTGCCGTCGGCGGCCAGCGTCTGCCGAGCGCCGTGAGCCGAGCAGCTGTGTGCCTTCTACGACGGACGCGACAGTGCTGGCTGATACACCCAGTCGCTAGCTGCAGCTGGCCTGCATTGCATCCGGCTCTCCGTGCTGCGTGCTCACCATTGCAGCCGCGAGTGCCGGCGGTCGGCCGTGCGGCTGCGATCTGGATGCCGCCGCCCAGCTGCAGCAGCGCGATGATCCAGACCACAGCAGCCATCGCCCTCGGCTGCAGGCGCTGACCCTCATTCCCCTGCTGCCTGCAATCGCCTCTGGGTCTGCTGCCGCACGCCGTTGCTGCGTCCCCGCTGGCGCAGCACCTTCATGCTTGTGCTCCATGCGGCGGCCGCTGCGCCGCAGAAGCGCCCGCCGCGCGGAGTATTTCCTCCGGGCTGGCGCTGCCAAACCTTAACCTAGTTCTCGCGAGCGGCACGGCGCCGGTGTGTTCGTCGAGGCCGCTGCGGCGCCGCGGAGCTGACACGGGCCTAACTTAGCGCATGATGCAGCACAGGCAGACGCGAGATGGCCAGGCGCGAAAACGAGATCTCGCGCCGCGCAGCAGCGATGCACGCTCAGAAGGACGGCCCTCCGTCGTCTCCTGGCCTTTTCGGCGCTCGCTGGGGATGCAAGCCGAACGGTGCGGTGTGCGCCAAGCTGCTGGCACCATGGCTGAGGCCTGGGCAGCGTGCGATATCTGCTCCGCCGTGTGCCTCCCGTCGGCTCTGCTGCTGGCGCTGCTGTGTGCTGGCGCCGTCGGACGCGGAGTTGGCGCACCACGCCGCCGGGCTCCCATGTCCGTGCCTGGCCGGCCTGCCGTGCGCCGCAGCATGCTCGGGACATGCTGGACCTTCTGCTGCAGGCAAATGAGCAATTTTGGCGCCGACCCAGGGCGCATCCGAGACGACGGAAGCTGCGTGCGAGGGGCGCAAAGTGGGAACTTTGGCGTGGTGCGGCGGAGCAGGGTCGCGGCTGCTCGCACGCAGCTCAGAGGCAGCGCACGCCGGCTGCACGCTCGCCAGGCCGGCGGCCGGGGATCCCTCCGCTCCGTGCGCTGCTGCACCGCGCTGCCCCTGTGCACGACAGCGCGTAGACAGCGCGCAGCCGAACAGCCACAGCGGATAGCCGCAGCGCTGCCTTCCAGCCACCACCGCCTCAGTGCAGCCACCAGCACCAGTCCCCGCGGCAGTGCAGCGGCTGCTGTCCCTCACGAGCGCCATCGCCGCCGTGGCCGCGCACTCGACGATACACCGCCGGCGTCCGTCACAGCACCCCAGCACTCGCCTGCACCACTCGCTGCCGTGCGACCACCACCTCGCATCGCCCAGACACACACTGCGCAGCACAGATCTGCACCGCCGCCGGCCTGGCCATTGCCCGCCGTTCGTCCACGCGGCCTGGTCGCTGCGCTGCATCCAGGCGAGTGCAGCACCGTCGCTGCTGCCTGGCGGCGCCGGCCGGCACGCGCTGCCTCGCCGCAGGGGACCGCGGGCACGAGGAGCGAGTGCGACACGACGCTCGTCTCGGGCTGGCTCCAGCAGCGCTGCTGAAACTGCCGGCGCGGGCGCCTGCTGGCACGCGCGGCCCGGTTGCGCTGAGGGTGGGCGCGGCGCGGCGCACAACGTTTCTGTGAGTGGTCTGCGCGCGATGTACGACGTGCGGGCTCGAGCCTGAGCGGTACAGCGGGCAGGCGCGTCCGGCATGGGCCTTGCGCCGTCTAGTCCGTTCAGGCACCTGTAAAAGGACTTGCATACAGATCGCAGCTGCGCAGGGCCTTCGCCGCCGCTGCGAGCGGCATCGTGCTCTCGTCTTGGAGCCACCTCGTTGCTCGCGCAGAAGCCACCTCGTTGCTCGCGTTGGATTTGACTGACCCGTCCGGCTGCACATAGGCATCGCAGTCGCGCGGCACCCTGAAACGCCGTGTGCTGCTCGGGGCCCAGCATGTCAGCCATCACCGAGGCAACCTTCTCGGGCTACATGTGAGTCCAGCCGTGCCTCTTCGTGCTTCTTCCCTTCCTGAGCCGAGTCGCCTCGCTGCAGCTCCAGCACGCACGATGCGCTGCTTGTGTTTGAGTGCGTGCGCCGCGGCATCATGCCCAAGGTGACGCGGCGCCTGCGCGACAACGAGCGGCATCTCATCCGCAGCGGCCACGTGTTCGTGTTCGACGAGCGCGAGAGCGGCATCAAGCGCTGGACCGACGGCCTGCTCTGGAGCCCGAGCCGCATCCTATACAACTTCCTCGTCTACCGGCAGATCGACACCAAGCTGCACATCGTCAAAGCACAGACAAACGAGCAGGCCAAGACAGCCTCTGCCTCGGCCAGCTCAGCGCGAGGCTCCGCACCTGCCAGTGTCGGGTCTTCTGCCTCCTCACCAACGCTTCCCGATCCGCTCGCGCTGGGTGTCGAACAGTCGAACGAGCCAAGGCGAAGAGTGCCGAGCCCTCCCGCGCTGCCCGATGCCCGGAGTGCAGGAGACGCTGCCGAGCTGGAGCGCAACCTCGTGGGCAGCCTCACGAATAGCTACCCGTTTGCAAAAGGAGGCCTCTGCAAAAAGGTGAGCTTGCCGTGCGCTGTCGATCGAGACCACTCCGCTCACCCCGACGCAGACGATCTCGCTGCAGGTCGAAGGCTCGACGCAGCACCTAGTGTCGTACTACAGTCTCGAAGACGTGCGCGCCGGCCGACTGCGCACTCCTGCGTCGCTCCCAGAAGTCAATGCTCTGCCCATCTCGCCCGTATTCCTGAGCAAGACCTCGTTCCGCTTCCCTCCCACAGTGATCGTGGGTCCGGACGGCGTGCCGCGCTACAGCCGCGACTCCGGCGCCAGCGACCCAGGGATGCGCGCCTCGGACGGAGCATCGAGCGGCGAGGCCACCTCTGGCAGCGAAGGGCGCAGTGCTCCATCGGCTCCCGCCGCAGCGCCCGTCGCCGCAAGGTGGTCTGCTCTGTCCAACCTGGGCATGAGCTCTTCGCGCAACACGAGCTCGCCAATGGTGGCGCAAGCCAGCCAGAGCTCCCCTGACGCACGCCAACGGCGCTCATCCGACGCGCCTCTGCGCACGCGGCGTGGCGGCGAGCGCTTCGAGCCGTACCCGAGTGCCCACGCTGCTGCTGCACCTTTCAGTCTCGAGGACGCCTTCTACCCTATGGCACCGAGCACTGCCATGCCTTGGACCAGCCAAGATCCTCCCGCAGCCCACGACCGAGCGGGCGCAAGCATGTCCCACGCCACACACGTGCACAGCAGCCTTGGCGCGCAGTCTCATCTGCCTGCGTCAGCGCCACTCCCGCCGTCGATACCGGCTGCCAGCTGGCAAGACTTTGCCGCGTCCCAGGCCGCATCACATGGCCCGTTCGCACATCAAACGACTCCATTCGCCGGCACGGTCGATCAGTACGGGGGCCTGCGGCACGGCGCGGACAGCCACACTGCGGGCGACTGGGACTGCTCGCGTCCCTCGACCGGCACGTCTAGCGCACACTCGTCGTCGTCGGCTGCGTACATGTTCGACGCGGTGTACCCGGGCAGCGCAGACCTGGGAGCGCCAGGTCCGCCAGCGCCTGCTCTGCACGGCCTCTTCGCGCTCAACGCGGCGCCGCCAGGTGCAGGCGGTGCATACCTGGGGTCCTCTCCTCCGCGCGTTGGCGCGCCGCTGCACGACCGACTGGCGGAGGGCATCGCCCAGCACAGCGCTTGGACGCCACCGCTCAGCATGGCCGCACGATTGGACAGCTCGGCATCGGGCGCGTATGCGCAGGCGCCAGAGTTCGGAGCGCCGACGGCGCAGTTTGGCGCAAGTGCGGCGCGCCGGATGCCCTCCCCGCCCAGCCTGTCGTCGGGCGTCCCGGCGCAGCGCCCAGCCGACAGTGGCGACTCACGCCAGTTCCAAGGCGGTCCGCAAAGCGCCGGCGACTTCCATGCCGTCTATCTCTCACGCCCGCCGATGCCTGCGCTAGACGCGGCCCCCTCACGCTTCACGAGTCACCAGCAATGAATGTCATCGGATCAGTGTTGCGGTGCAGCTTCGTCTGAGGCGTGCAGCCCGCGCGCAGCAGCTGTTGCTGCCGTCTGTGTTGTGTATGAAACCCTCCTGCTGTGCGACCTAATGGCGGAGCAGGATTGAGGAGGAGGGACGGCCGTCCAGACAGCTTGGGCGCGCGTCGTGCGGCGCGGCGCTGTCGGCCGAAGCACCCCGACGCGCCGTCCGCCGGCGCAAAAGTGCAGCGCCGCTGACCCAGCTCGGGCCGCGCCGCGCCTTCTTCCGTCCCATCCCGCCGCACCGCTCCTCACCTCGCCCCTGCGCACCGCCGCTCGCTCCTCTCCATGGTCCTGTCTGTGACCAGCCAGCGGGCGCTCGCGGCGCTGCGCTGCCGTGCGAGCCGCGCCACGCCGCTCGCGCCGGCGCTGCGCACCCTCAGCTGCGGCCGCGCCGCCCGCTCGGCGGCGCCCGTCGCCGCCTCGCCGTCCGCCAGCCACTCTGTCGCGCCCGGCATCGCGCCTCTCGAGCCCGGCCTCTCGCACGCAGCACCCGGCTCTGCGTACCTCGCCGCGCGCCAGCGTCAGGCCGACTGCCTCATGCGCTGGAACTGGCTCGAGTCGCCCGAGCAGCGCCAGGCGCTCGCCGTGCCCTTCGCCCGCCGCGCCGACTGCCCGGCATGGCTCGAGGAGGAGTACGAGACGGCGCGCTCCTACCGCTCCGCTCGCGCGCGTCTGTGGCTGCCGTCGTCTTCGGCCGCTGAGGACGCCACCGCGGCGGAGCAGACCGAGTACGTCGGCCGGCTGAAGGACACGTTCCGCCGCGTCGCAGAGCGGCATCCCGCCATGGACGGCGTCGCATTCGACGAGCACGACGCATGGCGTGCGCCGGGCCTGCAACAGACGCTCGACGAAGAGCTGATGCAGCACTGGCGCGAGCTGTCTGGGGAGGAGCGCCAGGCAAGCATCTTGCGGCTGCGCTTCGAGTGCATCCGCCGTCTCGGCTGGCGCGCTGGCTACACTGCGGGATACCCGCTTCGCCCCTACAGCTCCGCTGCCGTCCGTGAGGCGCGCAAGGTCCTCGTCAGCAAGACTGGCACAACCGAGAAGAGCGCCACGGCGCGTGAGGAGGCGCGCGAGCAGCTTGCTCAGGAAGACGAGGCAGCAGCGTGGAGAGCCTGGCAAGGCCTCTCCATTGATGCGCGTCTCGAAGAAGAGCGCGCCGCCTGGAGCCAGCGTGATCGCTCTCGCCTCTGGATCGACGACAGCTCGACTTCGCTGGTGCTCGGCGAGTCGGCGCCTCGCTGGTTCGCTCACGCACCGCGCGTGGGCATCCCGACGCTTCTGCCGACCGAGACGGTGCGTCTCGTGCGCAACTTTGTGCCCAAGGGCGGCAAGGCCGACCCGTGGAAGGCCTCGTTCCGCCTGCCTCTCGACATGTCGAAGCACGCTCTGGTCAACTACCTGCGCAGCATCTACGGCCTGCACGTCACGTGGGTGCGGACGCAAGTCTACCGCTCGCAGATCTCGCGCAGCCGCGTTGGCCGCGGCAAGACTGCCAAGGGCCAGCGCACGTGGAAGAAGGCCGAGGTCGGGCTGCTCGAGCCGTTCGTCTTCCCGGAGCTCACGCAGCAGTTCCGGCGGGAGAGCCTGATGCAGGAGGTGAGTCGCGTCTGCACGCCCTCTGCACACATGAGCTGATCGGGCGTCTGCGCGAACAGGAGATGAAGCTCGAGATGACACGCGTCTTCCTCAAGGCAACGGGCCACCGTCGCTGGCGCTCCGTGCGGCCAGCAGACCCGCTGCGCGTGGATATCGACGCTGCGGAGGCGCGGGCAGAGGCGGAGCGCCTGCAGGGTGGAGGAGCGGATGCAGTGGTGCCCAGCCAAAAGCCTGCGGCCAACGCACGGCCAGCACTTCTGGTGCGCTCCGGCGGCATCCAGACGAAGCGGCACAGCCGCATCCTCAAGCTGCTCAACGAGCAGCGCAAGGATCGCGACGCGCTCATCGAGAAGAAGGCGCAGGAGCTCAGCAAGCAGGCGTAGATGGCTCGGCGAGTCTGCAATGCGACGTGTTCCCTGTGATGGGCCGGGCTGCATGCCTGGAGGTGCGCGAGTCTGCGGCGTGTGTTACGCTGCGCTGCCGTCTTCTGTCCTTGTTCGGCCGCGCGGGAGCAGGCTGGCGCAGCCAGGCGGCCTCGCTGGGGTTTGGAGCACGGCTCGATTGCGACAGACGCACGCCTACTCCGGACCCTCGTGGGGAGGTTCCCTGAGCGCATCTTCCCCGACAGCCCAGACACTGCGCAGGTCGCCAGAGTCAGCGGGCGATGACTGCAGAGCGCTCGATTCACTCACCCTTCGATGCCCAAGTCAAAGTTGTAGCTGCCTCCACGCCGGGCACCGCGCTTGCCCAGCTCCTCGGGCGCGAGAAACTCGCCGTCCGGGCCCCAGTCATCTCCCTCGTCGACGACCTGCCGCTTGGACAGCGGCGACACGCCCTGGGCGCTCGTCTGGTTCGAAGAGGGCCGGGTCGGGCTCGACAGCACAGCTGAGATGCCGACGGTGCGGATCTTCTCGCGCATCATCTGGATCTGGGACGAAGCGACCTGGCCCGTGTTCGTGAGGGCGAAGTCTGAGAAGGGAATCTGGCAGGCGCGTCAGCGAGGGTGCAACCAAAGACCTTGATGGGATGACACTCACCACGACATCCTGCCACTCATTTGTCGGGTGCAGCCACAGGCGGTGCTGGAACAGGTCGCTGGTGACCGGGCCGTCGGTCTGCACGTTTACGAAGAACTTGGGCCCCGGCGGCTCGGGCTCGCGGAAGCCGATGCCGAGCGCGTGCAGCGCGCGCGTGTCGCGCACGTCGCTCGAGTCGGCTGCAGTGCCGAGCGCCGACGAGTGCGGCGATGCGGCAGCAAGACGGGCGGCCGCCGTCGCGAGAGAGGGCGAGGATACTGGGAGACGGTTGCGCACGCGCAGCAGCAGGAAGGGATACAGCGATGCGTCCCACGTCTGCGAACCGAAGAGCGTTGGTCGGTTCTGCAGTGCGTGTGTCAGGAAGACCTGGAGCAACGCGCAGAGCACCTCTGCAGCACCGCGCATGGCCCTTGCGCAGCACGCAGCTGCCCGGGCGACGGAACACGAGAGGCTAGATGACCTCGACCGAGGCTAGCTCGGCCGGTTTCGGCAGGAACGCAGGCGCGACACGGAGAGAAGTCCGGGGCACAGCCCCTCGATCGCGCATGCTCTCGCCACTGGGCTGGCAATGAGGAGCCACTGCCTACGCGTACCGAGCTCCTGAACACACATCACCCCGTCTGCACGAGCGTGCAGCTCACCTTGTTGCGGAAGCCAGCGTAGCCACTGCGCTCGATCCTGCCGCCGCGTGGGATCTGCGTGCTCAGTGTGCCGAAGAAGCGTCCGCGCCCGCCGTCGGCGGCGTCGAGGACGAGGCGGCAGCTGCTGAGGCCGCCGATGTCGGCGTCGGCGCCCGTGGCAAAGTGCGGCAGGTCCTCGGGCCGCTTGAGGGCGTAGAGCGGCAGCGCGCCGTGCGAGCGGGCCGTGGGCGCCACGTCCATGCGCACGGCGGCGCGCGTGGCCGAGACGGCGACGTCGAGCGAGCGGCTGAGCGCCGCCGCGAGCGAGTTGAGGTACGTCATCGAGTCGAGAGTGTGCGCCTGCCGCTGGCGATGCGCGCCAGGGGGGCGGGAGGCGTGGAGCGAGGAGAGGTGTGGAGGAGGTGGTGGTGTGCAGCAGTGCATGGCGTGGCTGCCGCGGCGCGGGTGCAGCAGCAGCGGCGCGCGCCGCTTACGAGCAGCTCGGCGCCGCCAGCAGCACCCCGGATCGCCGTCACCTGTGCCGGCAGCGCTGCTGGGCCCGTACAGGCTCGTGCGTCCAGCTGCCCGCGGCTGCGAATGCGACAGACAGCAGGTGCCCTCTGGCAAGACGAGACAGTCCCTCCTCTGCCAGCACATGCGTTGACCCGACTTCGGCGAGGGGTTGCGGTATGACTCGCGAAGGACCTCCACTTGCGTGCCCTGCTCCAAGGCGCCTCAGGCTCACGACGACGCTTACTATGAACGGATGGGTTGAGCCGGCAAGCGGTTGAAGCTGATGTGGTGGTACATGTGCTGTATGCTGATGGGGTGTATGAATGCGTTGAGACTCAGGTGACAGGGAAGCTTCGGGAGAGGCACTAGGGGGCGAGGGCAGATGGAGCAATAGCGGGCTGGGCGAGCGGGGGGCCGAGGGCTGAGGCCACAGACGTGGACCGCCGCAGTTGATGCGGACGGCGCGCAGCGGCCGGGTGCTGCGCCTAGGCGGCGGGCGCCTCGTCGCCGAGGAAGGGCGCAAAGATGGCGTCGGCGTTCTTGAAGTCGTTGTGCACCTGTGCCGCCAGCATGAGCGCCAGTCACGTCCGGCAGCCCCGGGCAGTACTCACCACGTTGACCAGGAACCAGCCGTCGAACAGCTGCTCGAGGAGCTGGCGCGTGGCGCTGCCCTCCTCGTACACGCGCGCCCAGTGGCGCCCAATCTCGTACGCCTCGTCCTTCCACGCCAGGAAGGAGATGGACTCGACAATGGTCGGCTGCACAATCTCCTGGTGCGGGAAGCCTGTAGAGACGAGGTCAGCGGCGACGCCGGTGCTGAACAGCCTGCGCGTGACTCACAGCCCCACGTCACGGCACACGGCGCCTCGCTCGTGGTATTCGTGCGCATGTCGCCGCGTGCGTTGACGACGTGGTAGGTCATCTGCGGGTCCCGCTCGATGCGGGAGATGAGGGCGTCGACCTGGTCTGGGGCGACGAAGAACTCCAGATAGGCCTGCAAGGGATGTGAGCACCGTCGTTGCCACGCACATTACAGACTGACAGCACACACCTTCTGGTACACGTAGCCGTGCTTGGGGCCCCATCCATGGACGGGGTCATCGCTTCTGGCGCCATCAACGGCCGGCTGCGAGTTGATCGTCAGGTAGCCGCGCCGGTTCATGGCGCGCAGCTTCTCGTCGATGACGCTCGTCTCCTTGGCGATGCCCGTCTCGCTCCACGGCAGCGCCTTGACCTTGCCCTCGCAGAAGCGCGTAAAGAGGTCGCGCACATTGTCCAGGCTCTCAGGCTTGCCCCACAGCTCAACCGCCTCGGTGTTCGAGTAGCGCAGCTTCACGCCGTACGCGTCCACGTCGCCGTACGCCGGCGAGCGCGCGTCGCCCCAGCGTCCGTTGGGGAACTCGTCCCACGTCTCCGTCCGGTCCACGTACGACTTGGCGCGGTTCGCCCAGAAGATCGGGCGAATGCCCTCGTCACGCCGCTTCGGCGTCAGGGAGGGCGTCCACGGCAGCGTCTTCGTCTGCTGAACACTGGGCGAGAGGCCGAGGTAGTCGAGGAGCATGCGCGAGCCGCGCTCGAGGTTCATCGTGTAGATGTGCAGGCCCGAGATGCCGAGTCCGTTCTTGGGGTCGACGATCTTGCGGCACATGTCGCCGACCAGCTTGGTGCCCACCTCGCGCACCTTGGCGTCGTCGTCCTTGATGGGGTCGAGCGCGTCGTGGAAGTACTGCGGCACCTCAGTGCGGAAGCGGGCCGTAGCGCGCTGGTAGCCTCCGTACGTCTGGATGGGCATGACGCCCGGCACAATGGGGCAGGTGATGCCGGCTGCGCGCACACTCTTCACCCAGCGCTCGAAGATGTCGTAGTCGTAGAACATCTGCGTGAAGATGAAGTCGGCGCCGGCATCGATCTTCTCCTTGAGGCGCTCCATCTCGAGATCGCGGCCCTCCTGCGCCTCGGGGTGGCCCTCGGGAAATCCGGCAACGGCGATGGCGAAGTAGTCGCCGTAGTGCTCACGGATGTACTCCACGAGCTCCTTTGCGTACTCGAAGCCCGCCTCGTGGCGCTGCCAGGCGCCGCCGTCGGCCGGCGGATCGCCCCGCAGCGCCAGGATGTTGCGGCAGCCAAACTCCTTGGCCTCGCGCAGGGCCACGTCGACCTTGGAGCGGGGCATGTTGGTGCACGTCAGGTGCATGCAGGTCTCGAGACCGATGTACGTGTGCACCGTCTTGACAAGCTGGGCCGTGAGGTCCGACGTGCGCCCGCCGGCGTTCCAGGTGATGTCCACAAAGGCGGGGCCGAGGTCGGCCATGCGCTCGATGCGGTCATCTACAGCATGCGTCAGCAAGCCGGCCAGTGTGCTGTAGCGCAGCGTCACTGACAGAGGTTGGTGAGGCCTTGCGCAGTGCGAGGCGGGAAGTACTCGAAGCTCCACCTGGCGCGCCACGGATGTCAGTGACTAGCGCGGGCGGAAGTGCAGAGCATGCTCACCAGACACGGCCCTCAGCCTCCGCCTTGGCGATCTTCGTCGTGACTGCAGCCGAAGGCGTCAGGCGCGGCGCTGGGCACGAGGGCGGGCGAGCGGCAACTCACTGCGCCAGTCAGTGTCGGCCTCCTGCCGCCCTGAGCCCGGAGACGCAAGCGCGGGCGACGGCGGCGTGTTGGTCGCAGTCACCATGTTGGATCAAGCGGCTTGGAGGGATGAGGGCTGGTGAGGCGGGCGGCGTGTGCGGCAGTTGGCCAAAGTGGGCGCGGAACGGGCAGGCCGCGCGGCGAAGATAGATACGGCAAGGGCTAATGCGTGAGCGACAGCCGCAGCAGCAAGAGCTGCAGGCAGTGGCGGCGAAGGGAAGACGCGCTCGGAGGCAGGATGGGCTGCGTCGAGGGAAGGCCGGAGCGGAGGGAAGGGGGTGATGAGGTGGTGAGAAGGATTGCCAGTCCTGGGCCGCGGCGCAGCGTGGCGGCTGGAAGAACGACGGGGCCGGGCAGGCTCGGTCAGCCGCGCATTCAAACGCGCATTCAACTCCGCGCGCCCCAAGTTGTATTGCCCGGCGCCCCACTCCCGAGTCCCGAGGCCCGGCGGAAATTGAGCGCACGTGCCATCGTCGCTGCGCGTGCCGCTCGGCTGCCGCGCGCCGCGCGCCGTGTGTGCCTCGCCCTTGCTGGCGCCCTCCTTCTCAGCCCTGCCCTGCGACGCGAGGCCGCGCGTCGCCTCATACCCAAGCGAGGGGCAGAGAAGCATCCGCTGAGCCAGGAGTGTGAACTGCTGCTCTTCAGGTCAGGAAGACAGCTGGATACACTCATGGCGCGGTAGTGGAAGCAGCGCTGATCGCAATCTCGCCGCGCCAACTGCTGAACCTGGGCTGTTCTGCGAGTAGCAGCTGTGCTGAGCCCGTCGGCCTCAGGGAGAGCGTAGTGTTGCGCCGGCCCGAAGCAGGGCGGCTTCACACCGACATCGTGACAGACGCTGCTCCCACCTCTGGCCTCCTCTTCTGGGGCTGTGCGGCGCATGCCGCTCCACCACGGCTCACGAGAGCTCACGGTCCTTGTCTGGCTGCAATCGTGGCGGAGGGGCTCTCTGTATGTGTTGGATTGCGTCGAGCCGGCTCTGCGCTAGTAGCCGCTCCGGACTGGTATGGAACCTTCTTGGCCCTCGCGCGGCTTGAGGCTGAAAAACGTGCGCACCGGACATGGAGGCGCGGGGTTTGACAGAAATTGGCAGTACAAGCGCTGCGCGCAAGACACGTGTGCGCCCCGCTTTTTGTGCGGCGAGGGCGCGATGGACAGCTGGCAAGCATTTTTCGCTTCTCGTCCGTCTGTCCCGCGGTGTGATGCGAGAACCCCGCCGCCGGCCCCGTCGCGACGCTTTCGCCACACAATATTCGGCGAAGAAGCTCGAGCGACCAGCACTCCTGACGGCGACATGGCTGAGGTCGTGCAAAGGCACGCCTGGACGCAGTAATGAGCACACAGAGCAGCACATCAACGGCATGAAGCGTGACAGTGTCTCATTCGACGATGCGGAGCGTCAGCAAGGCTACAAGCGCGGCAGGCACGTCTATGTGGGGAGAGAGGCGGTCGCAGCGTCTTCCATAGCCGCCGGCGTCGGCAGGCCCTCACGCCTTCTCCCAGCGGCCGAAGTAGGCGTCGAAGAGCGCCATGATGCTCCACTGCGTGTGACGGATGATGAGCACGACGCTGTGGGGTGTCGTGCAGTGTGACTCACCTTGCGGTTCTCAGCCTCCTCGAAGACGATGGAGCGGGGCCCGTAGAAGACCTCATCGTCGACCTCGTCGCTGGGAGGGATGCTCGCGAGGTCAGCGCTCCGGTAGGCAGCACGACGCGTCAGACTCACGGCTTGCGCGGCAGGCAGTGCATGAAGCGCGCGTTGGCCTTCGCGCCGCCGCGGCGGAGCAGGTCCTCGGTGATCTGGAAGCCGGCGAAGTCGCGCAGGCGCTGAGGCGGTGGGCAAGCGTCAGCGCCTGAGTGCCAGTCTGGCCTGCGAGCCGAGGGGCCGTCACGCACCTGCTCCTTCTGAGCTTCGTCGCCCATGGAGATCCTGGCGCGGGTGTCAGCGCGGCAGCTGCAGCAGCGAAGCAGAGCTGTCTCACCAGGTGTCGGTGACGACGACGTCGGCATCCTTGAGCGCCTCCAGGGGGTCGTTACCCCAGCTCACACGGCCCTTGGCGTACGCCGTCTCCTCCTTGAGGCCCGCCTCCATGTCCCTCCACACGTGCTCGTCGCGCTTGTAGCCCTTGGGCACCGCGACGCTGAGGTGCATGCCCAGGCGCGGCATGGCCACGAGCATGTCGGCCAGGATGTTGTTACTGTCGCCGATCCAGGCAACCTTGACGCCCTGCAGCGACGCCAGCGACGACGATGGCCCCCCGCCGATCACCTCGTCCTCCAGCATGGTGAGGAGATCTGCCAGGATCTGCGTCGGGTGGTAGCGCGCCGACAGGGCGTTGATCACAGGCACGCGAGAGTGCTTGGCGAGCAGCTGAAGGCGAGGTTACTGTCAGCGACACAGTAGCACCGCGGGGGGTCCTTTGCGTGTGGTATGCAGGGCTTTACACACTTCGATCTCGTCGTGTCCGCCCACGCGCGCCATGATGCCGTCGCACATGCTCGACACCACCTTTGACGTGTCAAAGAGCGACTCGTTGACGCCCAGCTGGATGTCGGCCGGCGACAGGAAGAGAGGGTGGCCGCCTGTGTGCGCCGTCAGTCAATGCGCCCAGGCGTGTGATGGTAACGTGTCCGGCATCGCTGCGTCCTGCAAGCTCGGCGCTCAACGGCAATGAGACGGAACTCACCCAGACCGGCGACACTTGTTTCGCTCGCGACTCGCGTACGCGTGCTGCGCTTGGCGAAAATGATGGCGATGTTGCGGCCTGCCAGGCTCTGCGGCAGCGTCGCGCCGCCGGCGTGCTTGCCGGCGGCCGGGGCCGTGACGAAGGCACGGTCCGAGGCGCGCGACATGGCCTTGAGCTCGGCGGCGCGCTGCAGCACGGCGGCGATGTGCGGCACCTGCAGATCCGCGAGCGAGAGGAGGTGCGGCGGCGAGGCCTTGGCCGCCGTGCCCAGCGCGCGGGCAGCGCCGGGCGGGCACAGCACACGCGTGACGGGGCGCAGGCGGGCGAGCATGGTGCAGAGTGCAAGCCAGGTGGACTGGCGGAGGCGCGGGCTGGCTGCGAGTGTGCTACGCCGGTGCGGAGAGATCGCTGAGTGGCGTCTGCAGGACCAGTAGCTGTCCGGGGTGATGGGATGGAGAGGCGAGTTGTTTGCAGCTGACTCGACCGCGTCAACTCGAGGCGGCGCCAAAGATGCGCGCGGCCAGATTATCCGAATCCCGCGGCGCACCCAACCTTCGCGGCCGGGCCGCGACCGATAAGCGCCGCCGCCCATCCCGCCGCAGCAGCAGACGCTGCAGCTGTGTGCTGTAGGCAGAGGTCGATCCAGGCTACGCATGTTGAGAGCGTGCAGCGGTGCAGCAGGCAGGCAGGAACGGATCGGCAGCGTCACAAGGACATGCTGAGGGCGCAGGCGGACGCGAGGCGCGGCCGCGGCGTGCGGCCGGCTCGCTGTCTCCGAAGGCGGGCCAAGTGGAGCGGATGCGCGCGCAGGGGTGCGTTGTGCACGCCTCCTGGACGCTCGTCCCTTCGCTCCCCTCCTCACCCATCCTTCTCGCGCCGTCCGCACGCTCACCCGCCGCCAGCTGTAAGCCACATCGCTGCGTACTACATCGCCACATCGCACAGTGCCTCCCGCGAGTCGCATCCACGCGCGCTCTGCGCCGCACACGACATGCCCGAGAACCTCACGCCGCCACGCCCCACGGGCTCGCGCCTGCGCACCCTCTCTGGCGGCTTCTCGCGCGGGCTGGGACGCCTGAAGTCGCAGAGCAACCTGCGCGACAGCGACACTGTCGACGCAGCGCCTGCTGCATCCGCCGACGGCGCCAAGCAGTCCCAGGCAGCGCAGTCCGGCACGGCGACGCCCGACTCTCGCATACCCGCATCCGCCGCTCCGACCGTTGGCGTGCCCACTCGTGTGCGTAGCTCGTGCCAGTCCGTGCGCGATCGGTTGCCTGCGTCTGTCTGATACTCTTATTTAGCCTCGTCCGGGACATCCGGGAAACCTGAGCACCGCTCAGGCTGCGGCGCTGCGCACATTCGAGGAGCAGCTGCGCTCTGTTGGCGCGCTGCCGTCCGGCTACGATGATGCAGAGGAGGGCGAGCGTCTCTGGGGCCAGGTTGCTCTCACGTGAGTATAGAGGCGCGCCCATTCCCTCAAGCAAGCGGCCGCTCACCCAGGTCCTGCGACCTTAGACGCTTCCTGCGCGCTCGGCAGTGGTCGGTGTCTGGTGCCGTGGAGATGTATCAGGCCACGCAGCAGTGGCGAGCCTCGGTCTCGCTGCCGAGCCTTGTCGATCCGTCATCGCCCGGCTACTTCGACTTCCACGAGGTCGAAGCAGTGGCGCGTGCGGGCTGGTCGATGTACTTCCACGGCATCGACAAGCTCGGCCGGCCCATCTTCGTACAAGGCCTGGCGGGACTCGACACGACGAAGCTGCTGCAGGCCACGACGCAGGAGCGCATCACGCTCAACTTTGCCTGCACGCTCGAAACTGCCTGCCAGAGCCGGTATCGCGCAGCCACGCTGGCCAGGCGTGCCAAGGGCGACACTGAGGCGCTGATCGACGGTGAGGGCCCATGGCTGCCTCTTCCACGCGCCTTGCTCACGCTCGCACCAGACAACTTCATGATCGTCGACATCGGAGGCCTAGGCATGGGCACATTCTGGGCGGTGAGCCAATCGGCGCTCACTGGGCCCGCCTCGCTGACGCTCTCGCTGTCACGCAGTTCAAGACGCAGTTGCAAGGCTTGCTGTGAGTCCGGCCTGTCATCGCACTCTTCCAAGACCACCTTGCTCACTGCGTTGTCTCCTCAGTGCCTGTCTTGACGCCAACTTTCCCGAACTGAGCGGCCGGGTCCAGATCATCAAGTGAGCAGTGTCTGGCTCCGCTCAAAGCGCAAGCTGACCGCCCTCTGCGCAGCGCTCCGTGGCTGTTCAGCAGCATCTGGTCGTACCTCAAGGGCTGGTTGCCCGTTGGCAGTGCGTTTCGTGTGTTCCTCCCTCCCGCATGCACGGCCGCTGACCGAGCTGCACAGCCGTGGACAAGATTGACATCCAGGGTGCGGACTATGCGGCCACCCTTCTGCAGTACATCGAGCCGTCCGAGCTGCCGGCCGCCCTCGGAGGATCATGCAAGTGCCCTGGCAGCTGCACTCGAAGCGACGCAGGCCCCTGGCAACACGCACTGAAGGCAAATGCGACAGCGGCCCTGCCTGCTGATGCACAGCCGCGGCAGCCCTCCCCATCGCTAGCCAGCAGCGAGACCGATGCCGACACGAAGCACGCCGACCCGCAACCCTCGTCCGGCGTGCACGTGGAGGACGGTAGTGGTCTGCAGCCGAATGGCGGCCCAAAAGGCGATCCGGCACCGCCTGCAGAGGCGCCCGTCGCCATCGAGGTGACCGCACCCAAGTCATAGACGAGCACGCGGCGTTGGTCCGACCCATCTCCACCCAACATTCTTCCGCCTCCTCACGCTCCGCCGCACTTAGAACTACCATGACATTCAGGCTGCGCTCGGACCGATGGGTCGAAGAGAACACGTTGGCGAGGCGAAGGGGAGGCGTCGGCGCGGCTCGGACTAGCTCTGCGCCTGCGCCCAGGCGTACACGCGGCGGAAGTACTGTCGCGACCGTCTGTCAGCGGGTGCTGGTGGTGCTTGCGTCTGACGGCTCACTGCGTCCTGCACGAACGGCGAGCCGGCGCCCTCGATGCGAGGCCGGCCCTTGTGGCACCGCTGGGCGTGCTTGAACCAGAAGATCCTGCGCAGACTGTGAGAATCGCCCGTTGCGCTGCGCCATTGCACACTGACTCCGGGTGCTTGACGCTGCCGAGCTTCGGACCTTCCACGTCGACGACTGCGTGTAGTATGAGAGAGCGTTGCGGGCTTCATCGTCGCCTGCACGCACACTTGCCGCACGCGTGGCCTGTGCGGAAGACGCTGGGATAAGCGTGGGCTCTTCAACGCTGGGCAAGACGCACATTTGCCGGTCAGCACCGTCTGCTTCTCCGTGACGTTTGCTCGCGGCCGTGCCTCGGCGCGGAAGGCGACGGGCGGATCAAACGGCTCGCCAGTCGCCGCGCTGATGCCTGCTCGAGGGCGTCAAGACTTGCGCTGCTTGCCGCTGGTGAGCGCAGTGTGCTTGCCGTGATACTGTGCAGGTCTCAGCAGCAGCCTGCGACAGCGCACGACAGGAACGCACGTTCTGCATGTGGTAATTGTACGCCGAGATCCTAGACGAGGTCAGCGGGCGGACTATGCGCGGCTTCGCTCGTGAGGGCCGAGTGCAACTCACTTGGTCTTGTGCCACGACGTTGTCCCATTCTCGTAACTGCAAAAGATGAGCGGGGCGAGGTAGACCAGAGACAAGACAGCGCACCACACAGGGCACAGCCCTTCCGATCGGCCCGGCGAGTGTCAGCCGCGACCGGGCGAGGGCCGCATCAAGCGGCTGCATACCTTCCTTCTTGCCTCCCCGCCCGCAGGTCCATCGAGGCGTGTATGCATCGAAGACATGCGGCGCCGGAGTGGTCCGCTCGCCACGCTGGCTCGCCAGGCCTCGAGCCGCGACATCCGCGACGTCCGGATGAAAGCTGGCAGCGGCGTTAGCCGCGCTGCTCGACATCAGGGCCACGGCTACACGTACGTGCCGGGCTGCAGACCGCCAAAGACCTGTAGCGCAGTCGCCTCCTCAAGCACTGACGACACGCGGACGCGGCGATACCAACCGTCGAAGCCCGCGACTTTCTGGACGTGTGCTGGAAAGGTGCGAGCGGCATCGAGAGCCGAGGCGGCCGTTGCAGCCGCCGTGGGGGCTTGCGCAGGAGCCGTAGGCGGATTCGCCTCGTGAACGACCGCAAGACCGCGACTCTCCGCGACCGAGACGAGTGCACTGCGCTTGCCTGCCTTGCTGAGCTCGGCGTTGTGCACGGCGGACGTGCCCGCGTCTAGGTTGCGCTTCTTGCTCCGGCTGCCTTGCCCGTGATTGTTTGCACCACGCCACGTGGTGTCAATGGCCGTGCCGAGTCGCGAAAGCGAGACCAGCGTCGAAGCAGCGGCACTGTCAGCGGCATCGGCACCGAGCCCTGCGTATGACCGAATCAGTCGGAGGGCTCGAACGTCAGGTGCGGCAGAGACGTACCGCTTGTGCCAGTCTCGGCGGCGACCAGAGTGAGTCCGCGAGGCGAGCGCCTCAGCGGGATGGCCACAGGCACTGTGCCAGACGACTGACGGCGCAGCTCGTCCATGCGCTTGTCACATCTCGTCGCTGAGCATCCGCCGTACCTCGGCTCGTCCTCTCCCTCGCTCTCGACAGTCCAGAGCTGCAACAAAGTCAGCCGGGGCAGGATGCAGGTGCCTACAAGCTGCTTGCCGTGCTCGGGCCCGCTTCCGATGACAAGGCACGAGCCTCCGCAGTACGCTAGATGAAACGCAAATTGAAGCATCAGCATTGAGGCCGAGTCACTCGCGCCCACGTGCCTACCTCGCTGATCTTCAGAGGATCGACGGACGGGCGTGGGCCGCTGAAGCCGCGGACTGGGAGCAGTGCCGCGTCCGACGTGCTCCAGCCGTCCGGCGAGAGAGCGGCACTACGCTCAGGAGAGGCGGCAGAAAAGTGCGGCTGCAGCTCGGCGTCCCACAGCCCAGGTGCGGCGCTCGGCGGGCGCGTCCACACGTCCCACCTGGGCGAGTGGCGCCCGGCGGCCGAGCGCGCATCGCTGCTCTGCCTGCTGAGCGAGAAGGAGTCCAGCAGCGCCTCGGCCGTCTTTGCGGCGCTGTCGGAGCGGGTCAGACTGGGCCATGCGGCGCCGAGGAGGCTCGAGCCCGAGCTGGCGCGCGGCACAGAGGTATCGAGCGACGCCGGCGGCAGCAGCGGGGCCGCGAGGCGCTCGTCAGACGGGGTACGGATGTATGCGCCGCCCGCGCCGGCGGGAGCGCGGCACGGCAGGTCGGCTTCAGCATGCGACGTTACGGGAAGCGGCGGCTGGCTCATCGTCGCGCCGAAGGAGGGCGATGTGTGGAGCGAAGGTTGCGGCGAGAAGCAAGCTGCCGCAGCGGCGCGCGGCCCGGGGGAAGGAGAACGCGCAGCAGCGCCAGAGAGCATCAGCAGTGCATCGCGCCGCGCGACGCGTCGAAGCAACAGCGCCCGTCGTCAAAGAACCCGCCTCGCCTGCCAGCGCATGCGGCCTGCAATCTGAATGGCAGCAAGATGTGTCTGACAGCTGCTGCCGTCTGCTGGCTATGTCCTGCTATGCATCTCGCGCATGGACGCAGAGTCGAGCAACGCAGGGCCAGCGGAGGTGCCTTGCCTGCACCAGCACCAGCACCGCATGCGCACGTGACAGAGCCTGCTGTCTGTGCCCTCATCCGGACGTTGCCAAGCCGGCTCGTCGCAGCTCCTGGCTGCTTCTCCACCCCCACAAGCGAGCATAGGCTCAGCCGGCACGAGCAGCGAGCCGCATCTGTCTCGATGAGCAAAGCGCGAGCGAACCCCTCGTCTTTCGGACGTCCTCCGCCACCGCAGCCTCAGACGGCAGCGATGCGGGTGCGGCACCGGCCGAGCGCCGCGAGCGCTAGCGCACGCTGCAGCCGAGTCGCCGAGCCGGCGGAACGCTCGCGTCTGCGCTCTGGCGCCTCCATTGCGCTTGCTTGGCCGGCTGCACCTGCGGCTGCGGCCGCCGGCTCGGCGTGGGGGCAAGGCCAAGTGAAGGTGGTGCTGACTCTGGGTGCTGCCGGGTGACGCGGGACGGCTCGGGCTCCGCCAGAGCTCGCGCTCCTGCAGACGCTGCTGCCATGCTGATCAGATGCGGCCGGCATAAGATGTGCGGCATGCTGCTGCAGCAGATGCAGCGGGGCGGCTACGGCGCCATGGCGCCCGACCGGCGCACGCTTCGCCGGGTGCGGCGCAGGCGCCGGCCCCGCCCAACATCAGCGCAGCGCTCCGCAGCCCAGACGACATCCGCACAGCTCGCTCCTCGTTAGCTCGCACAGCAGAGAGCGCACTTCGCCCGACTGGCGCACTGCCGTAGAACTCAGACGCCAGCCTAGCGCAGCAAGAACGCTCTCGGCATTCGCCCTCCTCGCCAAGCTGGCGTCACCGTGGGTGCCCAGCTGCCCACGTCGCCGGCCCCTCAGTCCGCCGTCACATCGCCCCGCCCCGATCCGCCCCCTTGCCCCGTGAGCCCGGGGCAGAGCCGCGGAAGCTGGCCGAGGAGGCTGCGCTGATGCTCCGCCCGCGCGGCCGGCCGCCTGCGTCGTGCGAACGGCCAGAGACGGCTTGGCGCGCCGCAAGGACATGGGGTCCGACCCCGCACTCGGCGCCACGCTCGCCTAGCGTGGCCGCCGTCGCTCTCGGGCCTTCGACAACCTCATCTTTGAGCGGCTGCCACTCGAAGTCCTGGACATCGCTGCGGGCTCGCCGCTTTTGCCGTCGTGCGTGCGCCCCGCACCTCGCAGCACCGCAGCGACACAGCCGGCTCGCGCCCGCGCCATGGAGCGTCGGTCAACGAGGCCCTCGCGCGCCAACACGCGTCCGCAGCGCTGCAAGGCGCACCTCGGCCAAACGCCGTCTTCTGGAGAAGGCGTCGGCTGCGAGATCCAGCGCTGGTTATGCGCAGGCCCGCGCCGGTTGCTCGTCTTCCGGCGGCATGCAGGTCCAACCGGACGAGCCAGCGAGCGAACCAGGGGCGTGCGAATGGCAATCGCAGGCCGGTCGTGCAGCTCTGGGCCGAGTCCGGCGGTGGCGAATGCGGGGTAGAGACAGGTGTCCACGCCTGTGGTTCGACCGGTTCCTGCTGTTGGGGCCGCTACATCGCAGGGTGCCCGGTCCTCAGCTCGACGGGTACATAAGACGCCCGACAGAGCAGCCACGTTGCCGTTCGAACAAGCCTCTCTCCTCTGCGCTCTACGCAGTCAAGTCTCCTCATCCCTCACACCACTCTCTGCCCACCTCACTGCCAAACGCCACGATGAAGTTCTCCCTCGCCGCTGCGGGCCTCGCCCTCATCACGGGCGCTTCGGCGCTTCCCTCCTTCGCAGGCATGGACCCCGAGGCCGTCCGCGCAATGGTGGCGCGCGCCACCGAGCACGCCTCGACGAAGCGCCAGCTGCCGCAGGTTGTCCTCGGCAAGAAGAAGCTGCCCGACGCCGACCACCCCTTCCGCGCACCCTCCGGCAGCGACGTCCGCGGCCCCTGCCCGGGTGTGAGTCTGGAGGTCATGCTCGGATGCTCGAGCCTAGACTGACTCTCCGCTCTGTCACGCAGCTCAACCTCATGGCCAACCACGGCTACATCTCGCGCAGCGGCATCACCAACTTCAATGAGCTCGTGTACGGCCAGCAGGAGGCCATGGGCTTCGGCGCCGACCTTGCTGTCTTCCTGGCTGCTCTTGGTATGTGTGACTGCACGCTGGCCCTTGCACCTTGTCCTGACTGTACTCCCATCTAGGCATGACCGTCAACGGCAACCCGATCGCAGACAAGCTGAGCATCGGCGGTCCCGACCCGCGCGTGCCCAACCTTGGCCTGCTCGGCACAGGCCCCGCTCCGGGCGGCATCATGAAGCACAACGCCTACGAGATCGATGCGTCCCTCACGCGCACCGACCTTGGCCTCGGCGACAACAAGCCGCTCAACGGCACGCTGTACGAGCAGATGTTCAAGATCGCCGACGAGCTCAACGGCGGCGTCATCGACGGCAGCGTCACGGGCCCGATTCGCTCTGCCCGCTACGAGGACTCGGCGGCGCGCAACCCCAAGTTCACGATGGCGCCCATCTCCACGCTCTTCTTCGGCGCCGACCAGTTCCTCTGGCGCACCATGGTCACCGCCGACGAGGACACGGGCAAGCCGGTGCCGTGCACGCGCGAGTCGCTCGCCGCATTCTACGGCGCCAAGGACGAGGGCAACGGACAGTGGTCGTACGTGCCGGAGCGCTTCCACGACGACTGGTACCGCGGCGACCTGCCCGTCGGCCTCACCATCCCGGACCTTGTCGCCTCGGCCGTGCCCGCGGTCCTCTACGCCGCGGAGCGTGGCCACCTGCCCGTCGGCATCACGCCGCAGTCGCTCACGTCGCCCGACGCGTTCGTCTGCACCATCAAGCAGGTCGTCATCGGCCAGCTGCCCACCGTCATCGCCGGCGTCGACATCCTGCAGCCGCTGTTCAAGAACCTCGGCAGCGTCGGCGCGAACTGCTAAACACCGCGTAGTGCTCTTCTGTCGCGTCTTACCTAGCATGTCACTTTTACCGCTGCAAAGCGAAGCCTGTAATCTATTCCTGACGACCAAGCGGCTTGAGATCGGTCATGCAACGACTGCTGCAGCCTCAGCGAGCCAGTCGTTGACGAAACGTCTATCTATAGATTCAACGACGGCGTGTGGTGCGCAAAGCAACTCGAGCGTGAGCCAGGGGGCTCGCCCTTCTGCGAGGATATAAGCCTGCCGCGACGGTCGTGGGGGATATCTTCAGTTGGCCTTGGCGGTGCCCGCCGGCGCAGCTGTTGGCGGCGTGCCCGCCGTCTTGACCGCCTTGCCCTTCTTCTTCTTGTCTGCGGCAGACGCGAAGTGTCAGCCGCACGGCGTACAGCCGAACCGCGGCGCCACTCACTCTTGCCGCCCGCCTCGGCAACCAGGCGCTCCAGTTCCCGACGCTCGTCGTCCTCGGCCTCGGGCTGCACCTGCTTGTAGATGGCACCGAGGAAGGCCAGCGCCCGGGCACGGTTCAACAGCGTCTGGCGAAGCCAAGTCAGCACGGGCCTGTAAAGGGACGGAGGCGACGCACCTTGTTGTCGACGCCCTTCTCATTCAGCACATTGTCGCACACCTTGCGCAGAACGGTGGTCACCTCCCAGCGAGTTCCGCGCCAGGTCTGTCGATGCAAGCGGTCAGCCAAAGCCGCTCTGCTTCATGCGAGCTGAAGTGCTCACAGCCAACAGCATCTGGGAGAGGCGGCTCAGTCAGCGGGACACTCGGATTCGGGATAAGGGACGCACCTTGCCGCTCATCTCCTGCTCCATCCTGCGCAGCTCCTCCTCGTCCAGATCGCCCTTCTCTTGGCGCTTGGCCATGTCCTCCATGCTCATCTGCACGCTGACTGCGCTGCCGAGCAGACTCCACATCTCCTTGCCGACAGCGCCCTTCTCCTTCAGGCGGGAGAAGAAGCCAGGCAGGCCAAGGAAGTTGTGCTTCTGCGACTTGATCCACGTCGTCGACTTGGTCAGGTAGATGTTACCGATGGCGTGCAGTAGCTCGACGCCGAACGACTCGAGCTTCAAATCCTCGGCCTCTTCGCGCATCTTGCGCTCGAAGATCTGCGTCTCGGAGTCATTTGCATCGCCCGGGTTGCGTGCCTGGTCGCCAGAAAGCAGACGAAAGCGAGCAAGGCAGACCCATCTTCAGCAACAAGCCTGCCTGGGCGGTGCCAGGCCAAGCACTCACCTCCACGAACGGCCGGATGCGGTCCTTCAGCTTGCGCGTCAGATCCTCGATGCGCTCCTTCTCGGCCTTCTCCTTCTCCTGCTCCAGCTCGTCAAGCTTGGCGCGCTGCTCCGGCGTGAGCTTCGCGCGATCGCTCTTCTTCTTCTCGTCTGCCTTCTGCTCGGCCTTGGCCGCCTCGGCCGGCGTGGCACCGGCCGCAGCAGCAGCTGCGCCGGCCGACATTTCAGCGGCGCCCTCCTTCTTCTCCGCCTCGAGCGTGCCCTGCTGCGGTGCGGCGCTCGGCGCAGGCGCGCCGTCTGTCTGCGAGGCGCGCAGAGCCGCGTCGGCCTCGGCCTTTTCCTCCTCCGTCATGAGGATCTCGCTCGCCTTGCCAAAGTCCTTGAGCAGCGAGATCTCGCCAATGAGATCCACAAAGCGGTCGCCGCCGAACAGCTGCCCGAACATCTCCGTCGCCTCGTGCAGGCCGACCTCGCCGGTGGGCTTCTTCTTGCCGTGCTTGTCGTAGTCCGCACGCAGGTTCGAGTCGGACAGCACGCGGTACGCCTCGCCGATGAGCTTGAACCTGGGCGGTGTCAGCAGTCCGTAGACCCACGCATCCTCGGCAGAGAGCCGCATCTTCGCCCGACTCACTGCTCCTCGTCGCCGCCCTTGTCCGGGTGGTTCTTGACGGCCATCTTGCGGTAGGCCTTCTTGAGCTCAATGTCCGTGGCCTGACCGGCAACGCCGAGCAGGTCGTAGTACTCCATGTCTGGCGCGCAGAAGGAGCGTCAGAAGCAGGCCGAGTGAGGTGTAGGCATGCTTGCCGGCATCGCCCGCACCTGGCGTCGGCTGGGACGCAGACGTGCTCACCTGCGATCTTGGCGCCGTCGCGCGAGATGTTGCGCGGGCCGGCATCGGCCGCCAGCGGAGCGGCAGAGACGTCGGGCGTCGCCATGGCTGCGCGGCGAGAGGATGCGATGTGGAAGCGTGTGGATGGACGGTGCGGCGAGGAGACCGAAGAGGTGCGAAGGGAAATGCGGAGTGACTAGTGTGAGGGTGGAGAAGGTGGTGATGGGCGCTAGAGAGGAGCGCAGGATGGGCGCACAAAGCTGTGCGGCAGAGGAGCACAGCCGCCGGGCCAAGCCGCGCCCGAGGCGAGGCTCTGGCTGCTGCGCCTCGCCCGTCGACGTCTCTCGGCGCTGCGCGGCGCAGGCACAAATTCTGCCGACCTCGACGTGCGCCCACGACATCGCGCGAAGCAACAGTCCGCTCGGCCACCGAGCAGCTCGTTGCTGTACCCGAACGGTTGAGCAATACCCTGCTTGATATTTTGACCCCATCCCATCTGAGGCTGGAGGTCTGAGAGGCGACCTCGGGGCGTCGCTTTGCGCAGCGGTGCGGCTGTGCCTCCACCTCGCCGTGCGCGGCGCGCGCCGTGCCGTGCCATCATCCAGCATGCGCCACAGCGCAGCGCCGAGCTCGCGTGCGTCTTGGCTCGGCAGCGCGCCCTGCACGAGACGGCAAAGGCCACACGACCGAGTGTGAAGGGAACAGTACAGGACACAGCACAGAGCCACGAATCTGAATAGAGAACGCAGGCGGCCGTTGAGCTGCCGTCCGGCCTGGCAAGAGGCGGAAGCCGAGGGGGGCTGTCGTCACGTGCCGCGGGGTCGCAGCGCGCAGGGGGCCGCTCGGGCCAGCCGGGCGCGGCGGCGTGTCCTTCTCGCGCCGCCGCGTGTCCTTCGCATCCACCTCTCGCATCCCCTTTCCCCTCGTCACTCCCTCGCGGCGGGTGCCATCTGCCTCGCAGCGGCGTGGATCCGGCCTCCACGTATACGCGCCGACGCCGCAGCCTGCGCGACTGACCGCTGAGGCCCGCTCTACGCCAGCTGTCTCGCTCGCGGCGTGCGCATCCGCCGCATCATGGCGCTCGCGAATGCCGAGTCAGCGCCGGATGCGCCGCCGTCGGCATCCGCGCTTGCAGCATTCCTGGCCTCGCTAGAGCCGCCGCCGTCGGCGCCTCGCCTGCCCCTCTCTGCGCAGGCCAGCCTCGTCGAGGCGCACGCCGATGCGGAGCGCAAGAGCTTCGCCGCCGCTCTGGCGCGCCACGCGCCGGCGTTGCAGCAGCAGCAGCAGCGCATTGCGGCGGCCGAGCTGCGTGCGACGCAGCTCCGAGCCCGCGTCGCCGAGCTGCACGACGCCAGCGCAGGCGGGGACAGCAGCATTCAGCAAGGTGAGCTGCGTCTCCCGGCACGCTGACGGCTGCGCCCATCTCTGACTTCACTGCCCTCCGCCGCGCCTGTAGGTCTGCACACGCTGCCAGCGTTTGCCACCGCTCAGCGCACGCTTGGCAGCAACGAAGCCTTGCTGTCATGTCTACGGGCGCTCCATGGCGCGCAGTCTGCCGTCGACACGCTGGCGCTGCAGCTGAGAGGGCCTCTTGATGCAACCGCCTTGAGCTCGCTGCAAGCGGCACAGCAGGCCGTGCACAGCCTCTCCGACGCTCACGGCTCGCACGTCGGCCGTGAGACGAAGCGTCAGCTGGATGCGCTCGAGTTGGGGCTTTCGCAAGGCCTGGAGGAGGCGTGGCACGAGGCCATCAGCGTGGATGTGCCCCGGCTGCGCGTAGCGGTGCTTGACGCGGCCTCAGGTGGGTTCGGCAATGGGAGGCGCCCCTGCCTCATCAGAGCTGACACCGTCGCGGCCTTCAGCATACCCTTCGGCTGCCGCGCCTACTCCGCCGGCGTCTATCGCCTCCCTGCTGTCGCAGCGCTCGCGGCTCACCCCGCTCGTCTCGACACTGGCCACTAGTCTAGCTGCATTTGCGGCTAGACTGCTCGAGCCGGCGGCAGGCTGGAGTGTCGACGCCGGTGAGACCGACTGGAGCACCGAAGCACACGGAGAGAGCAGCGGCGTCGCCGCTCTCTCTGCCTTCCTTCGCTGGCTTGCCCCGCGGCTAGGCCCGCTGGCCCAGACTGTTGGCTCGGACTTTCTGCCAGCAGTCCAGCCGCACCTGCTGCCGGCCCTGAGCGCACTGCTTCCGCGCGAGCTGCCAGAGCCGCTGACTCTGCCGACCGAGGCCGCCGAGCTAGCGCGTGAGCTGCACGCCGCGCTCAGCCTCTTCCTCCCGACGCCGACGCACTACCTCAAGAACGATCTACAGCCTCTCCTGGCGTTTGCATCCTCTCAGGGCGGCGAGTGGACGAAGAGCCTGTGCCAGCATGCTCTGGAGGCTGCACGTGCGCTGCTTCTTGACACGCGCGGCTGGGACGGCCAGATGGCTGAGCTCAGCGTCGCGGATCTCATCGCACCTGCGCCAGCGCCGCCATCAACCGAAGAGGGCGCCAACGGCGACGAAGGCAGCGAAGCATCATGGGACTGGAGCGCTGCGGCCGGCGGCGAGGACGCAGCTGCGATGCAGGAGAATGCGGCCTCTCCATCGTCTAGCACAGCTGCTGCTTCGTCTGCGCCCGGGAGGCGGAAAGGCAAAGCGACACTGGGCGGCGTGCGCGTGGTGCGGCCTGGCGCGCAACTCGGCAGCGGGCCACTTCCGGAGGAGGGGGAGGAGGATGCCTGGGGGTTCGAAGAGGACGCCCTGGATGTCCCGGCTGCCACAGCCGCGCAGCCTGGACCACGCGATGGTCTGCAGTCGCCCGATGGCGCGCACGTGGCGCCGATCGAGGTTCCTGAGGACGATGCTTGGTTCGCCGACGAAGACGTGCACATCAGTCCTGCCGACACTTCAGCGGTCGATCCGCCGCGCGGCCCGTCTTCTAGCGCCCTGGCCCCCGAGGCCGATCTCGACGAGGAGGACGTCGACGAAGACGCATGGGGCCTCTCGGAGGCCGAGAAGGCCCGCCGCGCCAGCCTGCGTGGCATACCAGCCGGCTGGGTGCCTCCGCCGGAGCCGACTCTCGAGGGCACACTGGAGGAGGACGAGGGCGCAGAGCAGAGCATGAGTGCGCCGTCTGCAGCGACGGACGTCTCGCCGATACAAGAGCCGGCATCCTCCCATGCTCCCATCTCGCCGCAGCGGCAAGAGGTCGAGCCAGCTGGAGCCGGCGTCTCGATCAGCAGCGGCGTCTCAGCTGTCGCATCTGAGGCCGTCGACAACCACGCCGCTGAGCAAGGCTCGCGAAGCACGCCGGCGCTGCACACGCGTGCGACCGCGTCGACGTCTATGACTAGCGGGACGAGCAGCAGCCAGATCGCAGCGCCCTTGCTGAGCGATGACGACGACGACCTTGATGACGCCTGGGGCCTGACCGAAGCGGAGCAAGTCGCCCGCGCCGAGCGAAGAGCCAGCCGCGCTTTTGGCAACACCTTTGCATTCGCGAACCTGGACTCGCAGAAGGCTCCGCAACCGCGATCATCTCCCGCTGCGCCTGCTGCAGACGCGCCAAGCGAGCCGTTCGCAGGAGACATGTCGCCACCGCGCACGGGCGTCGTTGAGGCGAGCGCGAGTACGTCGCAGAGCAGACCATCGCAAGAAGAGCAGTCTCCGAGCGCCCTTGCCGATCATGCGGCGCCTGTTACTGCTGCATCAGCAGCACAGCATGACAATCCAGCTGCCGTGCCGACTTCAGCCCATCTCGACGCACCCGAGTCAGCCACGGCTGTCTCTGCGGCTGATCCCGCAACTGCAATGCCAGCTAGCTCAGAGCGCGAGCTTGCGCCATCTCACGGCCTCAACGTTCCGCCAGTGCCTGCGAAGTCACAAGAGGCTCGCGAGGCTGCCGTGAGCGAGGATGGAAAGGGCGTATCGTCTCCGTCTGCCACTTCGCTCGTCGAGGGCGCTTCAGCGGTCGATGTGGAATCCACTGAAAGGTCCGCCGCCGCGAGGGATGGCGCGCAGCAGGAGCCGGTCGCGCTTCCACCCGATGCCTCTGCGCAGCCCATGCACGACCCACAGCAAGCCCTGCCGGATGAAGACGATCCATGGGACCTGGAAGACGAGAGCGTGGTGGTGCCTGGCGAGGCGTTGGCGGCGAAGTCGAACGAAGCAGCAGCCGTTGAGAATGGCCGCAGCGACGATCAACACACCGATCTCAGGCCTCGTCACGACGAGCAGCCAGACGCTTCGACGCAGGCTCAGACTGAAGTTGCCCATACGCTGCCGTCGACGCCCCCTGCCGCCGTGCACGAAGCTGCCGAAACCCAACACCTGGCCGATCGCACAACAGCAGGCGCTACGCGCGATGAGGATGCATGGGGCTGGAACGATGAAGAGGCATCGGGCGCAGCGGATTCCTCTGCTCCGAAGCTTGGCGCTGCAGTTCAACTGCGCTCTTCATCGAGCGGCAGAGTCACGCCGCCTCGCACTGCATCTCCGCGCGGCGCCGACTCGGGCATCGCCGCGTCGCCGCAACTTCGGCAGAGCGCGCTGCGCGCCTCCGGCGCACTCAGGAGCGCAGGGACGAGCTCGCCCACGACTGGCTCACCGTCCGTCAGCCGGAGCAGCTCCAGAAGCACCGCTCCGCCATCAAACCAGCGGCGTCGGCAGGAGTCCGCGTCGGATGCATCCTTTGCGACGGCCGACAAGCCTGCAACGCCGGCCCCTCTGCCAGCCCCTTCGGTGGAGAAGTGCCAAGTCTCGGCTCGCGCCGTTGCGCTACTGGCGCTTGTCGAACGGACCCTTCGGTCGGCTGTGACCCTCGCAGAGCACAGCGCGCAGATGACCGATGCGCAGCGCAGCGCTTGGCCCGATGGTGCGGTACTCTCGGCTGCGGTCGGCGACATGCTCGACTTGCACTGTGCGCTGTCGCCGACTGCACATGCCGCACAGCTGCAGAGCGCGTCGACGGCTGCACAGTTTGCCAACGATTGCGCCTTCATTGCGCAGGCAACAGGCCGGCTGCAGGATCTCTACGATGGATCGCAGCTCGCCGGCCGGGAACCGACCCTCGATCTCACCGCACATGCGCAGAAGACGGCTGCGCTCGGACAGACGGTGTTCACGGCGGAGCTCGATCGGCAAGCGGACCTGCTCGATGCCGCCCTCGATGCTGCGCGCCGCTTTGAGGACGTCCACGAGGCGGAGCGAGCGCGCAGCTGCGAGGCCGCAGCCACGCGCGTGCTCGAAGCGCTACGGCAGCTCCATGCAACATGGCAGCCGATCCTGCCTGCGCCTGCTCGGCTGGGTGCGCTCGGCACGCTCGTCGAGGGCGTCCTGAGCCGCGTCCTGCGTGAGGTTGAGGCACTCGAGGACATTTCGGAGCGCGAGAGCGAGATTCTGGCGACCGTCGTCAAGAGCTTCGGGCCGCTGGAGGAGCTGTTCGTCGATGCGGCGAGCGGAGTGAGTTACTGCTGCCGGCGTGGCTGCCCCATCAGAATACTGACTTCGCTGCCAGCAAACGGCCGTGGCGCTCTTTGTGCCGTCGTGGTTCAAGTGCTCGTACCTCTCCGAGATTCTGCAGGGCGGCCTGGTGGACATCGACTTTCTGTGGAGCGAGGCGGGCGCGCTCGTCGACTATGAGCCCGAGGAGCTGTCGCGCCTCATCCGGGCGCTCTTCTCCGACACGCCGAAGCGCAGCAAGCTGCTGGAGAAGATTGCGCTGGGGCATCCGCAGACCTGATTGTACTGCCTCCCCGTCATGCCATGCACTGCACGCCGTTCGCACGCTTGAATCAGAGAAGCACGCCAGAAAGGAGCTTGGCCCCTGACGGTGCGCCTCGAAGCGCGCGTCTGCGGCCCCTGTTGCGCCGGCGCCGCGGCGTCTAGAAGCGCCCCCCTTTCCTCTCCTTCGCCGCAAGGTGGTTCGAAGACGCCCTTTGTTGAGGCCGCTGCCGCTGTACCTCGGGCGTAGAGCAATCGTTAGCCTCAGAAGGCGTGGCCTTTCGGGACAAGAAGTGCCGCAGCGAGTTTTTAGCGCCTGCACCTGCCGCTCTGGCGCTACTCATCAGACTGCGCCTCTCTGCCGGACCCCGAGCGGCCGCCGATCTGCACCACCTCGCGGCCGCGCGCCGCGGCCCCATGCGGCGTGCGGCGTGCGGATGACCCGCACAGACGCAGCGTGCAGCGCCAGCCGCGGCAGCGTGATGCATGAAAACACGCGCCGCGGCGCGCGTCCAGGGTGCGCTTCTTTGCGCCGTCACGGTGCCGCGTGACGGCTGTCTGGCTGCGGACCGCGTGGTGCGCTCGTGTGATGCGCAGCCCCGGCACAGCCCCGGGCCTTTGAGCCGCTCGGGGGCAGAAGAGCGCGCACCACGCGAGCAGCCCTCCAGCAGGCCAGCACCAGCACCAGGTGCAGCGGAGCAGCGGAGCCGCCTGGCGATCGGCGGTACAGAACAAGCTGAAGACGCTGCAGCAGCAGCAGCTGCGGCGCGAGGATGAGGGCTTGGCCCCTGCCCTTGGCGCGCCTCGCTTCGCCTCTCTCCATCACCCCTCTCTCACCTCTCAGGCCAGCTCGTCTCGCTCTACAGATCCGCGCGGCGCCGCACGTCTGCTGCTAGACCCAAGCTTCTTGGCTGCATCCGCATACGCCCTCGGCCCGCCTCCTGTCTGCGCCGCTCCGCCGCTGCAGAGTGCACCGCCTTCCTCCCGTGCGGCGGCCTCCACTCCCTACGAGCTCGCCGGCCTCTGCCCCAGACTGAAAAGCTACACACGCTCGCGTCTGAGCCGTCCTCTCCTCGCTGCTGCTCCGTCTCAACTTCGCTCGTGACCACCTCCAGCCTCCAAGCTACCTCATCTGCCACACCTCTCCGGCCGCTCCGGCTCGCTGCAGCGTGCGAAGCCACCGACCGCGCCGAGCTACTGAGCTGCTACCGAGTCCTGTCAGCCGCACCGCAGTACGAATAGCCTCGCACCATTGCAGCATCGCAGCACCGCCCCACCGGCACCATGCGTCTCTCCCTCCTCGCTCTCCTCTCCCTCGCTTCGTCCGTCTTCTCTCTGCCCACCGAGCCGCACGCTGGCCCGCCTCCGGCGCGGCAGCAGCAGGCTGAGCGGCGCGGCGAAGGCGGCTGGGGTCCCGCCGTGCAGGACCCCGGCACCATCGTCTCTCTCATCCCGGTGCGCGGCGCGGACGCCGCGCTCTATGCGTGGACGCGCGAGGGTCAGGATTGGGAGAAGCTCAAGCGCATCGTATTTGTCATCCACGGCAAGGGCAGAGACCCGTGGAACTATCTGGTGCGTAGCGTCGTAGAGAGCTTGTCGAGAAGGGCGAGTGAGCAGAGAGCGGCGAAGGAGGGGTGGGGTGCAGGAGCGGCGCTGTGGGTGAAGAGATGCGCGGGAAGACTTGCCAGGAAGACAGAGGCGCGCTCGTCGCGTGCCCGCTCTTCGTCCTCGTCGTCCTCGTCGTGCTGATCGAGGCGTCGCCCGTGCGCTAGCGGACGAGGACTGACGCTCTCACCATCTATAGAACCACACGACAACAGCGCTGCAAGACGCCATCGCTGCTGGCCAGCCCGTTACGGACGACGAGGTCGGCATTTGGGCTCGTAAGTTCTTCCACTCTGCTAGTTTCTGCCGCCTTTGCTCACCTCCGCATCGCACTCTCCCTGCCGTGCTTTTCTTTGCGCAGCATCATTCTGGAACAACCAAGATGGCGGAGCCTGGCCGTGGGACGAAGCCACGCAGCAGCCCACTTCGAATTTGCTCGTCTGGAGCGGCAACGAGTGGCAGGACGGCGGGGTGAGTCCGCTTTAGTCTGTCCCTTGCGGTCTCAGGTCCCCTCGCCGGCCGCTGATCGAACTGCTGCCTCTCTTGCCCTGTCCAGAACTCCATCTATCCTTCCGGCCTTAACCTCTCCTCCTTCGAAGTGCTCGACAACGTCGTCTCCTTCTTCTCCAATCGTGCCATCTTTCCGAACGTCGACAGCATCACATTCAGCTCCCACAGCATGGGCTCGCAGCTACTGCAGAAGTATGCGTTCCTAGGCGACATTCCGCAAGGCATCCCGAGCCTTCGCTTCGCCATCGGCAACCTCGGCGCATTCACCTACTTTGACGACCAACGGCCGAGCAACGTCGGAGGCGCGGAGCCGGTCGAGCAGTGCGGAGACTACAACGACTATCGCTTTGGTCTGAACAACGTCGATTCTACCATTGAATACGGATCGCCCACTCCCAACCGCGAGCTCTTGCTCGAGCGCTTCAAGTCGCGCAGTGAGTGGCCCTGCCCCCTGACCTTCCTCGTCGCCCTGTGCTGACGCACCGCAACAGCATTCCATCTCCTCCTCTCGCAAAACGACGACGGACCAGGCAACCTGCAATGCGCTGCCAAGACTCAGGGCGATTCGCACCGGACGAGAGGGGCGGCTTGGTGGGAGTACATGAACGGGCCCATGGGCGGCTGGCCTGCCAACCACACGCTCGAGTGCGTCGCATTTCTTCCTAGCCCCCGCTCTCGCTCGCTTGTGCTGACCGCTGCGCGTCGCTCTCACAGCTGGATCCCCGATTGCACGCACGACGATCTCTGCGTCTTCCGCTCCGCACAAGCTCAAGTTCGCCTCTTCTTGAACGACTCGATGCAGCAACCATCCTTCATGCCCAACGGACCCGTCAACAACTTGTGGAGCGCCGGGAGCGTGCAGTGGGCCCGAGGCGCGAACGCAACGCAGGCAATGCCGACGGGAACGACGCTGAGCACGGCTGCCCTGCAGACGTACATTCCGAGCAGCACCACGAGTGGAGCGAGCGGCAATGCGACGCAAGCAGGTGGCAGACAACAGACGAACGGTCAAGTCTCTTCGACGAACGCTGCCGGCGCGACGGCCACGACCGCGATGCAGACTCTCGTGCTCGGTGCGGCGATGGTGGGTGCGGGCCTGCTGCTGGTGTAGACGGCGAGGAGTGGGGGGCCAGGGAGGGAGGGAGGAGAGCATACTACACACAAACAACCCATTGTACGATACTTGCTAGTCAATCGCTCATGCCCTTCGATGTGTCACGCTGCGTGAGGCTGCCGTGGAGCGAGCAGGCCTGCAGAGTGATGGCGGGAGCTACGCATGGAATCAGGGCGCGAGACGACTGCGAGCTTCACTCGAGACAACGAGCACGACAGGGCTGACATGAAGCTCTCATTGAAGGCCCTTCTAGCTAGCAGCGCAATCTCTCTAGGGCTCCCGCTCTCGATGAAAGCTTCAGCATGACCCACCTTGCCCTTCTTCTCTCTTGCCCTCCCCTCTACAGTCCCACACCCTCGCCACGTCTGGCCGCAGCGCATTGCCAGTGCCATCCATCATCCCTCCTCCTCTCCCCTCGCCCTGCCCCCTTCTCGCGTTTCCCGCGTTTTCCAACGCCTCAGAAAGGCAGCGAAGGTCTAGTCTTCTTCTTAGCGTCCTTGATTGACTGTGCGTTGTGAGAGAAGACGTCAGTCACTGCGGAAGAGCGACATCGAGAGCGGTGTGTGTGGGCTCGCACGGGATGCCTATGTCGACGTCGACGTCGGCAGCAGCGGCAGCAGCAGGTGCAAGAGCAAAGAGCTGCTGCGGGAAGATACAGCTCTAGCGCCTGCCTTTCTTCTCTCGCCCTCCGCTGCTTCTCCTTGGCGAGCGGGTTGCGGCGCGGGCGGCGCAGCGTCTCGCGCTTCTCCTGCACGGCCAGCGCGACACACACCAGCCATCGCCCCGTCTCCCCCTCTTGCCGCGCCTCATCGCGGTCTCGCGGCCCTTCGCAGCGCAACACAAAGCACTCACCTTGCGCCACTCGCCGATCTCCTTGTCCATGCCCTCCAGTTTCCGCTGCGTCTCCTTTGCGCGCATGGGGCGCTTGCGCTCGTCGGTCTTTCCCTTGAAGAGGCGCTTCACCGGTCTGCCCTTGTACGGTCCCTTGGCCTGCGCATGCGCCAGCGCACGTGCCCGGATGGCCGCCTGCGACTCAGGCGCACTCGGCGCCGCGGAAGACGGCGCCGCGGCGTCGGCGTCGAGGGAGAGGGCCGTGAGGCGCTCCTGCAGCTTCTGCACCTTCTTGGAAGGCGGCAGGCTCTCGAGCATGCCGGATGCGCCGCCACCGCCTGCAATCAGAGCTGCGCGAGCAAGCATGGCCTGACGGCGGGCAGAGTAGAGGGGAGGAGTCCATCGGCCCGAGGCAGCGCTCTTGTGCGGCAGGAAAGGATTGAGCGACTGCTCCGCAGACGCAGACGCGGACGCAGAGGCGGATGAAGAGGAGGCAGCAGTGGGCCGCGAGAGGAAGCGCAGCAGCAGTGCACGCGACTGATGCGCTACGCGAGGGGAAGCCATGGCGAGGGACGCAAAGGCGGGAGATGTGGTGAGAAGAAGAGATGCGCGCGCGGCGTCGTCGGTGAGGGCGATGAGGAGAGACAGCGTGGGAACAAAAAGCCAGAGGCGCGCGGCGCTGCGCGTGACTTGCGCGTGGCTCGCAACGCCGCGCGTGCGGCCGCCTTGGCGCTCTGCCTCGCTGCCCTTGCGCCTGGCGCCGTCCAGACGGCGGCTCGTCTGCCTCACCGCCACTGCTCAAGTGCGCCTCAACCACGCTCCCCGCAGCGCCGTGTCGCCGCCAGGCTGGCAGCCCTCGCTGCGTGGAGCGCAACGACGCCCCGCCACCACAGCCTTCACGCACAAGCGAGGTAGAGCGTCGCAACAGAAGCGCGAAATCTCGGGCATCTCTCTTCGTATTGCCAGACCGCACCATCCCACTCCTCTGCCGAAGCAAGTCCCTCGCGCTCTCTCTCCCTCGCACTGCCTCCCTGCCTCTCCGTCTAGACTTCCTTGTACATCTTGATAGCTGCGCGTTTTGTCTATCAGCATCTGCCACGCATGCGCTGGGGGCAAGCAGAACTCACTCTTGTCAGCGCCGCCCGTGAGCAACCGAGTGCCGGTATGGTCAAACGTGGAGCAGAAGACGCCTGCCTCGGCGTCCAGCGAGCCCGGCTGCGGAATGTCGAGCGACGACTGAAAGGGCGTGCCCGTTGCGTAGTCGAAGAACTGTGGCGCGCGGCATGTCAGAATCAGTATGGCTCTGCTTGCCCTTCTTTGCTCCCCGCAGGCACAGCAGAGCAGTCGTGCTGCCCAGGGATGCAACTCACGTTCAGTGCACCGTTGTCCGCGCCGCTGAACAGCACGCCGTCCGGGTTGATCGAGAGGGTGTTGACGATCGACTCGGTCGACATGTTGTTGATGAGTGTGCCCTCGGGGAACTTCCACGTCTTGACGTTGCGGCCGCCGGCGGAGCCCGAGGCGAAGGTGACTGCGCAAGGGGGGATGAGCAACCGAAGCGGGGCGAAAGTGGGGAATGGAAAGGCAATGGAACGCGACGTACATTCTTGTGGATGAATAGCGAGTGCGCGGACGCTGGAGAAAGAGGAAAGAGATGATCAGTAGGTGAAGAGAGGGAGAGAGGGGGCCAAGGACAGGAAGATGAGGGGGAAAGACGCACGATTTCTTGTGGTGCGTCAGCGTCGTCAATGACTTGCCCGCTGCCAGGTCCCAAAGTCTGAGCGAGTCAAAGCGGCGTCAGTAGTGGTTGGCGGTCTTTGTGGCGGGCGACAAGCGGAGACTCACCGAATCGTGCTGTCCATGCTGCCCGTCACGACTTGCGGATCGGAGTCCTGGCACTGCACACTCGCCACCGTGCCTCGATGTCCCGACAGCACATGCACCTGCGCCTTCGTCCGCATGTCCCATACCCGCGCCGACGCATCTCGTCCAGCCGTGACGAGCACGTCGAGCGTCGGATGCAGACTCAAGCTGTAGATGCCCGAGAGATGGCCGTGGTACTGCCGGATGACCTTGTTTGTTTCGAGGTCCCAGCACTTGACCATCTTGTCCTCGCCCGCGCTGAAGAGATACGGGTGCCGCGAGGAGACGGCAAGTCCGCGAACGGTGCTGATGTGCCCGGTGAGGGACAGCTTGAGCTCGCCCGAGGCAAGATCCCAGATCTGAAGAGATCAGGGGCGCAAGCGAGAGCGCAAGCGTCAGCATACTGGCGCGCTTTTTTTCTCTCCCTCCTCGTCTCGCCTCATGCCGTCCTCTTCCCTCACGCAGCGCACTAACCTTGATCATGCGATCTCCCGCGCCCGTCACGAACCACTTGTTCTCGGGATCCATGGCGATGGCCCGCACCCAGCCCAAGTGGCCCGAGATGACTCTGCTCAGCTTCCACTGCGCATGATGCTTCGGTGCTGCTTTCCGCGCCTCCAGATCCTTGCGCCGGATCAGCGCCGAGTTGAGCGTCGATCCACCGCCGGAGGAGGAAGCGAAGCCCTCGGCGCGACGCAGCGCCACAACGCCGGCCGAGGCCGAGGCGGACGGAGCCGAGGCGGGGCGCGAGACAATGTCGGAGATGTAGCTGCCCATCGCTCCCTCTTCCTCCTCTTCGCCCACTCGTGCCCGCTTGGCGCCCGGCTTGGCGGGCCCCACGCCTCGCTGCTGCGCCAGCAAGGCAGCGGGCAGCACCTTTGCGTCGGCGTACGAGCCCGCGATGAGCGTGGCGAGTTTTGCCTTGTGGCTCTCTTCGAGGCCTGAGAGATCGGCGGCGGAGTCGGAGAGGAACGAGGGCAGAGGCGAGGCGGTGGAGAAGAGTGTCTTTGTGCGCTTGGCCGAGCGCGAGAGGAGATGTGCGAGATCGGGCGTGGGCACCGCCGCGGGCGAGGCGCTGCTCTCGCCGGGCGCAGGTGGCGCAGGTGCGGCGACAGCAGAGGTGCTCGCGATGTCGGCCATGCTAGAGACTGGCGAGGGGAGGATGTGGAGCAGAAGGTCGCCGTGGCGCACGGGCGGCGACGCGAAGCTCGGCCACGGCGGCGCCGAGCCGTGGCGCCGCGACACGGTCACGTGCGCGCTGGGCGGGTCGTGTGCCTCGCCTTCGCGGCCCTGGCCAGCGCGGCGCTCGGCTTGCCTCTCGACCACCACCGCATCCGCCTCGCTCGCAGCGTGCAGCTGTTCTACCCCGCCTGCACCCGCCGCGTCGCGCCTCATCTTTCACTACGGCGTTCTGGCCGTCGGGCACCTCGGCGTAGCGCCCAGCAGCCCGCTTCCACACGGCCGCGCCACGCACACGCAGCGCGCCAGCGTCTTGTCTGGCGCGTGCGCAGCAGCAGAGCACCGCCGTCTGCAGCAGCCACAATGCCGCTCGCCGCCGCAGAGGTCAGCGCGCAGCGCGAGGCGCTGAGCAAGGCACTGGCAGAGAGCAGACTCGACGACTGCAGGGCACTGCTCAAGACGCTCAAGGCCGGCGTCGTGCCGACCGAGGAGCTGATTCGCGTGAGTGGGCAGGGCAGGGGCAGCGCCGAGAGGGCAGCAGCAGGAGAGAGGGCAAGGTGCAGGGTGGCGTGGAGGACGAAAAGGGTCGAGAGAGGAGTCAGCAGAGAGCAGAAGGGCAGGGCGCCGAAGCGTCGCAAGCAGGTGCCGGAGCACGGAGCCGCATGGCTCAGGACGAGACCCAAGAGCCATGCCTGATTTTCCGCTCCCTTTCCACAGGCAACCAAGATTGGGCAAGCAGTAGGCAAGCTGCGCAATCACTCCGACAAGGCCCTGTCGCAGGCCGCCAAGGATCTGGTGGGCGGCTGGAAGGTGGAGATTGAGAAGCAGCGCGCCGCTGGCGGCTCCTCGGCTGGCGGAGCGAGCGCAAGCGCGAGCGGCACGGGGACACCGAAGGTCAAGGAGAAGAAAGGTGAGTGCGCGCTGGAGAGCGCAGATGGAGTGCGAGACTGATGACAGTACACAGGCACACCAGCGACGTCCAACGGCGCCTCTCCCGCCACTCCCGGCACTCCTTCCGCCTCGGCATCCGCTGCTGCTTCCTCCTCTGCCGCGCCCAGCAGCTCCAAGCCAGCGTCCGGCGCTTCCAAGCCTTCGAGCAGCGCGAAAGTGGGCGGCACGTCAAAGTCAAGCCTAGACTTTGAGGCGCTCAAGGACAAGACGCGAAATGCCTGCCTCAAAGTGCTGTACAATGCGCTCGAGGTGGGAGCAGAATGCGGTGAGTGAGCACGAAAGGTCGTGCGATGGTGCGGACGGAAAGGAGGAGGAGTGAATGTGAGGGCGACGGAGGGAGCCCAGGAGGGCGAGTGAGCGCGGAGACGAGCACGCGCATCGGCTTGCTCGCCTCTCGTGCACCACACCTCCAGTCGAGTTCCGCTCACGCCGCCGGCCCCTGTCAGACGCGAGTGACATCTATTCTGCCGCACTAGGCGTCGAGTCCGCCGTGTTCGACGACATCGGCAAAGGCTCCGTCACGGCAGACTATCGCAACAAGCTGCGCTCTCTCACCTTGAACCTCAAGGATGCCTCCAACCCGGCCCTCCGATCCCGCGTGCTCTCCGGCGAGCTCACGCCGTCCGTCCTCGTGCAAATGGGTCCGGAAGATTTGGCGTCCGACGCGCGGAGAGAGGAGAGGGAGAAGCTCCAGATGCAAAATCTCTTCGGATCGAAAGCGGCGGAAGATCAACAGGCCGAGACGGATGCGTTTGAATGTGGACGCTGCAAGCAACGCAAGACGCGGTACTATCAGAAGCAGACTAGGAGCGCCGATGAGCCTATGTGAGTCTTCGCACGAGCGCTTTGCCGTGCGGCCGGTGTAGCTGACCGTGCGTGATGATGACAGGACGACATTCGTGACGTGCACCAACTGCAACAACAAGTGGAAGTTCTGCTAGCTCTCCGAACGGACGCCAGCCTCTTCACGCGACTCTCTCTCTCTCTCTCTCTTCCTTCCTCTCTCGCGAATTGCCGCCCCCTTCGCCTCTTCGCCCCGACGCCTTCGTTTCTACCTCGTCGCCGGCCCACGCATGTCTCCTCATGACTGAGAGCACCAGCGTCTGGATGCTGCTCTTGTCCTCCAAAATCCCTCTCGTCTCGTTTGCCTCTACCGTCACCTTTCCTCCTCCCTGTCCTACCTCTTTTCGGCTTTCTGAGACGCTTGTACAGCACTTGTACTTCTACCCGCGCTTGCCGTGCTGCGGCTCTCAATCGCGAGCCATAGGCGGCCGCGCCCCCTCTCCGTGCCTTGCTGCCTTGTGCACTCATGTCGCCCCTGGCGCGCAACTGCAGGGCTCGCTCTCTGAAGCTCGCCAAGCTCGCCGATGAGATGGTCAGGTCAGAGCGCCCTCACGCAGGCAACCGAGCCTTCCCATCGCTCCGTCTGGCCACGCGCATGCGCCAAGTCAGGTCCGAAAAGCAGCCAACATGCTCATTGCCCTCTCCCCTTCCTCCTTGGAGCGCCTCAGAGCTCCTTGACGCCCTTCTCCACCGCCTCCTTGAGCTCCTGTGCCATCTCCTCCGTCTTGACCTTGCAGCGATAGCTCATCGGCTTGCCCTCCTCGAAGCCCGTGAACGTCAGCACCTGCTTTTCGCGCTTGAGCGTGAGCTGCTTGTAGAGATTGAAGTTCTGCGTGTGGGCGCCACAAGCGCGGTCAGCCAACCATCGCTGCGCTGTGCATATGCGACCCCGGCCGGGGGGGGGGGGGGACTCACGACGACAGGCTTGCCAGTGACCTCGTTGCGCACCAACATCCTCGTCTTTCCCTTGCCCTCATCCCGCTTGATGCGCAGCATGCCAATGCCCAAATCCCGCCATTCCTTCTCGGCCAGCTTCCACAGCTTGGCGCGCATCTCAAACGCCGTCGACTCGGACTCTTCGCCCTCGCCTTCGCCTGCGCCCGCCAGCGTCGAGGGGGCGTCGGCTGCGGCGTCGGAGACATCGGCATCGGCTGCGGTGCCCGCGCCGTTGGTCGAGAGAGAGGGCGCGGGAGAAGGAGCGAAAGAAGGCGGGGAAGGCGCCGCAGATCGGTCTGCCTCCGGCTTCTCTCCGCTCTCCTTTGCCGCAGTAAGCACCTCGAACGTGAAGCTCGGCAGCTCCTCCTTGCTCAGTTTCAGCGCCGCATTCTGTTCCTCCGTCTTCGCGGCGGCGCTCGAAGTGGGCAGTGCCGGGAAGTCGAACGTGGGCAAGCCGGATGACGAGAGACGCGAGGCTGCGGTGCGCTCGTCGCTGGACGGACTTGTCGTGGCCGCTGCAGCCGCAGCTGCAGAAGAGACGGTTGAACCGGGCGTGAATGCAGGCGTAGAGGGACTGAATGTGAAGGCAGCCTTGACCGCTGGTGCTGCCGGCGTCGTGGAAGCTGGTGTCGTCGAAGACGTAGAGACGGGCGCAGCGTTCGAGGGAGTGGGTGCGCCGAACGAAAAGGTCGGCTTCGACGGCGGCGCCTTCTCATTTGGCTGACTCGCTGGCGCAGTCGCAGCGGGCGCGCCGAACAGCATCTTGGCGGGCGGATCGCTCTTCGGCGTCGTCGACTCAGCCGCGCTTGACGCTCCAAAGGTGAGCTTCTTGCTCGGCGTCTGCTGCTGCTGCTCTTGCTGCTGAGAGGCAGCGCTGGCAGAAGCAGAGGAATGGCGAGCCGGCGTCTCACTCTCCGAGCCACTGCCGGGCGAGTCGGGCGCAAAGGCACCGAGGGAAAGCGGCGAGGGCTTCTTGGGAGCAAAAGCCGAGGTTGAAGGGATGAAGGAGGCCTTGGACAGTGGCTTTGCGGGCGCAGGCGCAGGAGCCGAACTCGTCGGTGCTGAAGAGGTCGCAGTCGTGCTGCTCTTGAAGGAGAAGCTCGGAGCGAGCGTCGGAGCGGGAGAAGCGGGTGGGACGTTCTCGTCCATCTCTCCCTCTTCCGTCGTAGACGCCAGCTCATCCTCTTCCGAATCGACCGCCTTCTCTTGCTCCGTCGACGTCGACTGCGGCGAAGCAGAGCTCGAGCTGGACGCAGACGAGAGCAGTTTCATGCGCCGCTTGGCCTCCTGCGTGGCGCGCTTCGAGTGTTCCTCCTTCTCTTTCTGCGCCTGCGCCTCTTGCCCCTGCTTTTCTCTCTCCTCCCTCGCCGCCGCAGTCGTACTGCGTCTGCTCTCCCTCTTCGGCGCCGTCCTCTCCAGGCGTTCCAGCACTGATTCCTTCTTCTCGCCTTCCTTCTCCTTCTCTTCTCTCTTCCTCTTCGCCTCCTCTTTCGCCTTCTGAATCGCCTCGCTTCTCTTGTCTGCCCCGCTGGGCGCCGTCGAGCGCCTCGTCGAGCGCGTGCGCAAGACGGGCGATTCGTAAGGGTTGACCACTTCGGGCACGCGAGGTGCGGGCCGAGGAGGGAGAGGCGATGCTTCCAGGAGCGAGAGAAGAGCCGTGGCGGTCGCTGTGCGCTTCGGCGGCGAGACGATTGGAGCAGGCGCGATCGGCGGTGCGGAGACGCTCAGAGATGAAGCGGCTGGCGGCGGAGGGTCGAAGAGGTTGCTCGAGACAGTCGCTGCTGATCGGGGAGGCGACGAAGCAAGAGCAGGAGCATGGGCAGAAGCCATCTCCACGTCCTGTCCATGTCCATCTTGCGGCTCCTCTTCCACTCGTCGTCGCTTGCCATCCGTCGTCTGTTCCGGCGCGCTCGGCAACGACGCACGTTCCATCTCCGGCCTAGGACGTCTGCTTCTGAGCGCCTGGGGGTTGACTCTTCCAATGCCCGGGCCGAGATATAGCGGGCGATGTCTCCTTCCAGCGCTCGCCCCGTTGGCCACTCCAGCCGCCGCCGCGCGGCTCGTAGTGGCAGAGCGCGCAGAAGAACCGCCGGCGGCAGAGAGGGCGGAAGTAGAGAAGCTGGCTGCCAAGGAACGCTTGAGCTGTGCGTCGACTGCGGGTGCAGGAGCAGGAGCGAAGAATGTGCTGTGCGAACGAGAGGGCGCCAGAAACTGCAGAGCGGGTCAGCAAAGGATGACGCAGAGCAGGGCAGTGGGACCAAAACGACGCACCGATTGCGAACGTCCAGTCCAGCTCGCATCTGCGCCTAGCGGCAGACTCTCCTCTCTCTGCGCCCCTTCTCTTGCGTAGCCCAGCTGCTGCTGCATGCGAGGCGGCGATGCATCCATGCCATAGCCATGCAGCCGCGCACCGCTGTCTTCCAGCAGCCGCACGCAGCCCGCCACCTCCACTTCGGAGAGCCGGCTGGCCTCTTCTCCTCCCTCACCGCGGCCCTCGGTATTGGCCTTCTCGGCGAAGAATTGAGAGAGGAGGGCGTAGTTGCGCGCGAGAGGAGAGGTGTTGCTTGCGGGCTGGGCGGCGCTCATCGAAGCGTCGTTGGAGGCGAAGGAGGCGCCGGACTGGCGCGAGATGGAGCCGCTGAAGGACGGCGGAGATGCGTAGCTCTGAGCCGCAAAAGCCGGCGCAGCGAAGGCCGGTGCAGAGGGCGCAGCGAAAGATGGCGGAGCGAAGGCTGTAGCAGCTGCAGCGGGCCCTTGCGACTGCTGCGCCTGCTGCTGCTGCTCAGTCTCCTGAGCGCCCGACCTAAGCTGCGGCAGCGCGGGGTACAGCTGCACCCTCATCAGTCTCTGCCGGGTCCATCTCGCGGCAAAGTACTCACCCTCTCCTCTTCATCCTCCTCGTCCTCCTGCTCTTGCGCGCCCTCGTCCTCCTCCTCTTCCTCTGCCGCCCCAAAGGCCGCGCTGCCTCTGGCCCGCGCAAAGGGACTGAGGGCCTTGAGGAAGCCGCCCAGCGCCATCATCGCCGGCGAGCGCGGGCTGCTCTGCGGCGGTGCGTCGCCCTCGTGTGCGCGGCCGCGCAGGGCCACGGCGCGCTGGGTGCTCGGCGTGCGAGGCGAGGCGGCGGCGGCGGCCGGCGGCAGGCGCGGCGGCGTGGGCCGCGCGTAGGGCGAGGGCGCGGCACTGCGACGAGAGGGCGTGGCGCTGCCGCCAGTGGTGAGCGTCAGACGCGGGGAACGCGGCTCGCCGGCGCTCGAGGTGGTGGTGGGACGCAAGGCGGGCATGACGAGAGGTGCGCTTGTTTGCAGAGTGAGATGAGGGCTGCAAGGTCAGGAGGCAAGCCGCCCTGTATTTGCGGCCGGACACTCGGACTCGACTGCCGATCAAAGCAGGCCAAAAGGCGGGCGCCGCTGCGCGCTCCGGAGCGGGAAGAGGCTTGCGGCCTTGAGGGCCGGTGCTTGTCGAGGTGATGCGCGCCGCGTGGAGCGTCGTCGAGGAGTCGAAGAGGCGAGGCGGATGCTGCGGAGAAGGAAGACGAGCGGTGATGGTCGTGACAAGACACGCCGCGCGAGGCGGCGCCGCGGCACGCCGGCCGGCAGCGCGCGTTGCCCGTTCTTCTTGCGCGAGCCGGCACCGCATCCCGGCGTGGCTTTCAAGTTGGCGGCCAACGGCCGTCGTAGCATTACAGCTGCGCATAGTGGCTGCTGAAAGGAGACTGGAGCATGCAGTTCTTCTCTTCCGCAGCAATCGAGCCGACGAGAGAGGCGCCGGCAAGGTCGAGCTTGCGCTGCAGGCGTGCGGGAGAGTGAGAGGCGCGTGTGTGCGGCGCTCGCGCGACGAAGTCCCACGCTCGCCTCGCTCGTCACGCGCGCCGAGTGCGTCCCGAGGCAGCTTCTCGACCCTCACCTCCACTGCTGCCCTCTCGCCGCATCGCTGCTCTGCGTCCACCTGGCGCATCTGCTGCCTCGCTTGCGACTCGCATCGTCTGGTGCTCACAGACGCTCAGGCCTGTCCGCGCCGGCGCCGAGCGCCGCAGTGGCACTGGCGACTCCTGCATCTCCTCTTGCACGGCGCAGCTTCGACAGTCTCGCCCAGCTGTCCACCATGGCGCTCGCCGACCACGTCGCCGGCCGGCTTGCGGCACTGCTCGGGCTCGGAACGCCCAACACATTGCTCGCCACGCGCGTCATCGGCCTCGCGCGCAGCCTGCCGTCCGAGGCCGCCTTTGTCGCTGCGGCGCGCGCCTTTGGCAAGATCGACGAGGGCGAGCTGCGCAAGCTGCGGGAGGAGATCCTGGCCGTGCCGGAGGAGCGGGGCGAGAGTGTGGAGGAGAAGCACGAGGAGAGGAGAGAGGAGCAGAGGCCCAGAGAGGCGATTCGCGCAGGGCTCAATGTCATGGGCGCCGAGGTGAGTCGGACGTGTGCCAGGCAGACGAGCAGGACGGGTGGTTGTCTGCCTGCGCGGAGCAGCGCTGCGCAGAGCAGGAGAACTATGACGGAAGCGCAAGCGAGATGCGAAGCGCTGCTCCGCGCAGGCAGACAACCGAGGCGCCCTCATCGCCCGGCATGAGGCTCATGCGGAGCGTCAAGTCCGCGAGCAAGGGAATCCGCACTGGGTGCAGCCCCGCGTGACTTTCGCTGCTCTTCTTGCACTCTGATGCGTAGCGCTGGCGCTCAGCCAATCTGACCCTTGTCTCCGCTCTGACAGCGACACGTCTTCAAGGCGCCGTCGACCCCTCGTGCTTCACTCCTGGGGCTCGACCGCATCGCCGCCGAAAAGCGCTCCGAGGCCTCCTCCTCTTCCTCCTCTTCCGACGCCCGCAAGCGCGCCAAGCTGTCCGCTCCGGAAGTCACGCCTCGTCCGTCTGGCTCCGAGACACCTCAGCCCACGTTTCGCGTGCCCACCCGTCCCGCTTCGTCCTCTCGAGATGCCGCGCGCCCTAGGGAACGAGGAGAGGAGACACCTTCGCACGGAGGTGGTGTCTCTGAAGCTGCGTGGGCGAAACGCGAGGAACGTCGGCGAGCAAAAGCGGGACTTTCTGCCTCTGCAGCTCGCACTGACTCGAACGACAATGGCCTCGAGGAGTTTCGCGAGCGCCTGAACCGCAACACGCGCGATGATCGACGAGGAGGAGGAGGGGAGATGAGACCGCCGCCCTTGCCGCAGCGAGGAGTTCGAGGCTGGGAACAAGAGACACCTCGCTCTTCGCGAGATGCGTACGATGCTACGCCGCGCAGCGCCGCCAGCGTGCCCAACCGTGGTTGGGATTCCACGCCGCGCTCCAGTGCGCGCTCCGACTATACGCCTCGCTCTGGCTATCCCGACGCCACGCCTCGCAGCAGTCGCGGCTGGGAGACGCCTCGCGGCGGCAATGGCTCAGGCAGCAAGGCGGGCGCCGAAGATGGGCGCTTAACTCTCGCGGGCCGCGGCTGGGAGGCCGACGCGGAAGAGTCTGCGGCGCTGGACCGCGACTGGTACGGCATGGAAGAAGGCCTCGTGGCAGGCGACGAGGAGAACAATCCCTTCTCGGCGTACGCAGATGTCGAAGTGCCTCTGCCCGCCGTAGGACCGGACGGCAAGAAGCTCACCGCCCGGCAAGCGGCACGTAAAGCAGAGGGAGAGAAGTGGGAGGAAGATCAGCTGGCTCGTAGTGGCTTTGGCGCGCGCAAGATGATCGATCTGGACGAGATGGACGAGGAATCGGAGAGTCGAGTTCACCTTCTCGTCCACGATCTTCGCCCGCCGTTCCTCGACGGCAAGACCGTCTTTACTCGCCAGCTCGAGCCCGTCAATCCCATCAAGGACGGCACTTCCGATCTCGCAGTGTTTGCGCGCAAGGGCTCGCGACTAGTGAAGGAGAAGCGAGAGCAAAAGGAGCGCGCAAAGGCAGCTGCGAAGATGGCTGCGCTGGCCGGCACGGCGCTGGGCAACATCATGGGCGTGAAGGAGGAGGATGAGGTGGACTCGGCGGGCAACAAGATCCACGAGACGGGCGGCGACTCGAGCGAGGCAAAGGACGGCGGCACGTTCAACCACAAGTCAGACAGCCAATTCGCCAGTCATCTCAAGAAGTCGACGCAGGAAGGAGGCGCCTCTGCCTTTTCGCGCGGCAAGAGTCTGCGCGAGCAGCGCCAGTACTTGCCTGCGTTTGCATGCCGCGAAGAACTCATGCGCGTCATCCGCGAGAATCAGGTCGTCATTGTCGTGGGCGAGACGGGCTCGGGCAAGACGACGCAAGTGGCGCAGTTCCTGCACGAGGAAGGCTACACCAAGCACGGCCTTGTCGGCTGCACCCAACCACGCAGAGTCGCGGCCATGTCGGTGGCGAAGCGCGTGAGCGAAGAGATGGAGGTGCCGCTGGGCGACCTCGTCGGCTACTCGATTCGCTTCGAGGACTGCACGAGCGAGAAGACGCGCATCAAGTACATGACGGACGGTGTCTTGCTGAGAGAGAGCCTGAACGAGGGCGACCTCGATCGCTACTCGGCGATCATCCTTGACGAGGCGCACGAACGAGGACTGAGCACTGACATCCTCATGGGACTGCTCAAGAAGAGTCAGTCGAGCGCGAGCGCACGTGTGGTCTGAAGCATAGGCTGACCCCGCCGCAGTCTTGACGCGCCGAAGAGATCTCAAGCTCATCGTCACGTCCGCCACGATGAACGCCGATAAGGTGGGTGCCCTTCTTCCCCTCCTCCCTCATGCCGCGCGCTGATCCGCATCCGCCAGTTCGCCTCCTTCTACGGCAATGCGCCCAACTACACGATCCCCGGCCGCACGTTTCCCGTCGACGTGCTCTTTGCCAAGACGCCGTGCGAGGACTTTGTCGATGCGGCCGTGAAGCAGGTGCTGGCCATCCATCTCGGCGGCGGCATCGGCGACATCCTCGTCTTCATGACGGGACAGGAGGATATTGAGGTGACGTGCGATGTCATCAAGGGTGAGCCGCGGCGGCGCCATGAAGGATGTCAGAGAGAAAGACGCGTGGCTGACTCTGTGTGTGATAGAGCGTCTGGCGCAGATCGACGAGGCACCTCCGTTGCTCGTGCTGCCCATCTACTCTCAGATGCCGGCCGACCTACAGGCGCGGATCTTCGATGCCGCGCCCAATGGCGAGCGCAAGGTCGTCGTCGCCACGAATGTCGCCGAGACGTCGCTGACCGTCGACGGCATCATGTATGTCGTCGACGGCGGCTACTCCAAGCTCAAAGTCTACAATCCGCGCGTCGGCATGGATTCGCTGCAGATCACGCCCATCTCGCAAGCCAACGCCAACCAACGCTCCGGCCGTGCAGGTCGGACAGGCGCCGGAACCGCGTATCGTCTCTACACGGAGATGGCGTATCGCAACGAGCTGTTCGCCAACACGATTCCCGAGATTCAGCGGACGAACCTCGCCAACACCGTGCTGCTCCTCAAGAGCCTGGGCGTCAAGAATCTGCTCGAGTTCGACTTTATGGACCCGCCGCCGCAGGACAATCTGCTGCAGAGCATGTACTCGCTCTGGGTGAGTCCTTGGCGCGGCGGAGCGGCGAGCGCAGGCGCTGACTGCCTCCACAGGTCCTCGGCGCACTCGACAACGTCGGCGATCTGACGCCCGATGGCAAGAAGATGGTGCGCAGCGGTGCCTCGCTGATCCTCGTGCACTGCGCTGACATCTTTCCCCCCTCGACAGAGCGAGTTCCCCATGGAGCCGTCGCTCTCGAAGATCCTCATCGCCTCGGTCACGTACGGCTGTTCCTCGGAGGTGCTGACCATCGTCAGCATGCTCTCCGTGCCCTCCGTCTTCTATCGGCCCAAGGAGCGCATGGAGGAGTCGGACGCGGCGCGCGAAAAGTTCTTCGTGCAGGAGAGCGACCACTTGACGCTGCTGCACTGCTACACGCAGTGGAAGCTCAATGGCTATCGCGATGCGTGGTGCCAGCAGCACTTCCTGCATGCCAAGATTCTGCGCAAGGCGAGAGAAGTGGTGAGTGCTGAGCGCCTGCCTTGCCCCTTGCCTCTTTCGCCTTGCTCATCCCTGCCTCTTGCCACAGCGCACGCAGCTGGAGGACATCATGAAGACGCAGCGCCTCGAGATCACGTCGTGCGGCACGGACTGGGACCCGGTGCGCAAGTGCATCGTCACGGGCTTCTTCCACCAGGCTGCGCGCGCCAAGGGCATCGGCGAGTATGCGCATGCGCGCACCGGCATGCCGCTGCAGCTGTGAGTGCAGACGGCGAGGAGCGGCGTCGACGCAGGGCTGATTTTGGCGTGACCAGCCACCCGACGAGCGCCATCATGGGCGCCGGCATCACGCCGCAGTTCCTCGTCTTCCACGAGGTGATCCAGACGAGCAAGACGTACATGCACACCTGCACGGCCGTCGAGCCTCAGTGGCTCGCCGAGATGTATGTGTTGCCTCTCTGCCTCTCTGCTCTCGCCTTGCCTTGCTGACACGCCCGCTGCAGCGGCTCCGTCTTCTACTCGCTGCGCGAGCAGCACGAGAATGCGTCGAACGCGCAGCGGCGGCGCGAGGCGGCGGCGTCGCTGCGTGCGCGCGCCGAGCTGGAGAGCGGCTTTGCGGCGGCGCGCGCACAGGCAAAGGAGCGCCAGGCACAGGAGGAGGCGGGCGCCATGACGCCGCGCCAGAAGACCATCGCCACGCCGGGCGGCATGACGCCGAGACGGGGACGGCGGGCGGGCCTGTGAGGGAGAGAGGCAATGCATCGTGAGCAAGGGCAGAGATGCGGGCTGCGGCTGCGTGCAGCGTCTGGGTGGAGCATGGCCTTGCCTGGAGGGATGCCTTGGCGCCAGCAAGAGACGTGGCACTCTCGAGGCGCTGCCGCTGGCTCGACGGGAGCTCGAGGCAAGCGGCGGCAAGGCAGACAATGCAGTCTCCGGCATGGCCAGGCCCGGAGACAGCTGCCGTTCAAACGCCGGCCTCTTGAGACCGGCCCCGCCTCGCACGCGCAACAAGCTGGCCACAGACCCTGGCTCGCCCTTGAAGCGCAACGGATGCGCCTTACGCGCACGGGATGAGGTGATGTTCTCGTCATCGGCACGTTTTGCGTTGTTGGAGATGTGGAGAGGTCAGGCAGTGGGGGCGTGGCCACCTCGCTCACTCGCTGGCACTCCCACGGTCCTGCGACGTCTGCGGTACGCGCTGCGCTGCCTGCGCCTCGTCTTGCACAACGTTGCCACTGCGAGCAAGTCGCTGCTGCCGCTTAGCCGCGCGAGTCTTGGCTTTGTCCAGCTGCTGCTGCCTCTGCGCCTGCTGGCCTGGGTGAGCGTCCAACGGCGCCGCCGGCATTGCGTGCAGAAAGCACCGGGCCGTGAATGTGCCACGGCCTGAGGCCACCAACACGTAGTGCGGCGTGAGGATCATGCCGCGCTCCTGCCTGCGCCTTGCGACCCCTCACGCAGAGTGGAAGCGTGCCCTCTCTCGGGCCGCTGCTGCGGGTGTGGCGAATGTGGGCGTGGCATGGCAGGCTCTGCGCCGCCACGCAGCGCGGCTACGAGTCTAGTATGTGCGGCTGTGTGCGGGGTGTGCTTCTCACTGTCGCTGGGCTCTTGGGCACGCGACGCGCCGCGCGTAAAGAGGCGCGCCGCGCGCCACGGGCGTCGCGAGATGCACACTCTTACTCTGACTTGCTTCTGCTCCACATCCTCCCTGCTGCTCGTCTCGCACGCATCACACTCGCTCTGCCTTGCTGCGCTCGCGCCTCGTCGCAGCAATGGCCTCGCTCCTCACTCCACTCTTCGTCCAGTCGCTCCTCTCCCAGCACCTCGTCTCCTACGCGCACGCCCTCGCTCTCTACACGCGCGCCCGCGTGCTGCTCTCGCTCGCCCCCTCGACGCAGCCCTCGGCCGCCGAGGCGCGCCGCGCGCGCGACGAGTTCGATGGCTTCCTCAACGAAGTCGCGCAGGAACTGAGCAGCGTGGGCCTCGAGCTGCGCATGGGCACGCGGCAGGAGGACGGCGAGCGCGTCGTGGCGCTGGTGAATGCCAAGGCCGACGGCCTGGCGCAGATCGCCGCGGCCTTCAGCGCCGTCGAGCTGGGCTTCATCCGCCGCCTGATCAGCGCCATCTTCCAGGCCGCAGACGAAGTCTTCTCGCTCGGCGCGTCCGAGGCATTGGCCATTGCGCGCCGCAGCAAGCCGCCCCTGCGGCCGCGGCAGGCAGAGGAGATCCTGGGCCGCCTAGTGGGGCACGGCTGGCTTGCTCGGAGCGCGTGAGTTCTGCCCAGTGTCCCGCCCTGCACCGCTCTACTGCCGTCGGCTCTTCGTGCGCCCTGCCGTCCGAAGCTTATCCTCCCTGTGCCCTCGTGCTGCTGCCCGGACCTTCAGTGCAGGCCGCTATTCCCTCGCTCCGCGCGCGCTGCTCGAGCTGCAGTCCTACCTCAAGGCCGCATTCGACGACCTCATTCTCGTGTGTCAAATCTGCGAGGAGATTGTGACCGTTGTGCGTGGGCCCCTCTTTTCCCCTCCTTGCCCTGCCTCTCTCCCGCGCTCACTCTGCTCCCCCCC